ATTAGCTGTAGGCTCTAGTACAGTCCTCTAAAACGTTGTCATACAGTCTTATGCCTAGATTTCATCAACAGCCTTGCATTTACTAATACAGTATTTCAAGTATTTGGAAGACCTAAGGTGCGTCCCAAATGTTATACTTATGCACTATTCTACGCCATTTTGTAGTGTAAATAGTGTAAGTAGTGAGTTCACACTAAAAACTCTAAAAATAGTAAGTGCACTTTAATTACCCGGATGATGTACTTATTCAACCAGTAAAATGAAGTGTGTAATGATGGACACTTCATGCACTCAATGACCGCAGATTGTTGGCTGTCTTGCTCACACAAGCTTTTTCAACTCTGCCCACAAATTTTCTATAGGATTGAAATCAGGGCTTTGTGATGGCCATGCCAAAACATTCACTCTGTTTTCCTTAAAGCACATTTTAACTAATGCCATATGCCAGTTGTGCATAATGTGCAGTCGTTTGCCACAAAGTCAGTGTTTGGAGTTTTTAATTTAAAGATTCAAAATATTTTGGTTACAAAAACAAGTTGATCTGCTTCATAAGACATGCTATGAGTTTTTTTTTTATACAGGCGGTGTATGGGTTAGTTTTATGATGGATTTATGTGCTTTTGAAAGCTTCAAAATAAAAGTTACTGTCCAACACCATTTTACAGCATTGAAGAGCCAGAATTACATTTAAAACTACTCTGACTGTTTTGCCTGACAGAAAAGAAAGTCATATCCACTGAAGAAGGCAAAGAACACGCATCTAGTATATACAAACTTTTGCTTTTTAGTAACCCAGTTGAAGCTCTTCTGATAAAGTGAAGTTTTATGAACAAATTTCGAGAGTATCACATGTGTATGATTGACCACGGCTGGTCTCGCATCATCAAATAACTAACCAACCAATCAGACATATTGGAATGCATATAAATAGTCCGCCTTCCTCACCTTTGTCATCTTCATTTTCGACGAAACCCCCCTTCCACCCCGACTCTTCAGAGCTCAGGGTTCTCTCCTGGGATTTCATGCCAATTACGCTTTTAGTTTCTTGAACTGTATGCTGTTACAAAATTGTCACGGTTAAGGTCTGTTTTCTTTAAAAGTCAATGATCCTCACTGTATGATTGATTTACAATATGGTTGAAACCAGAAGTTTACATACACTCTAAAAAAAAAGGAACACAAATGTAAACAAATGTATGTAAACTTGACTTTCAAGACAAGTTATAACAATTTCTGGAAAAATGTCTCATTATTCTGCTGTAAAGCATAGCAGAAACAAATGTGATAATCCTAACTTGCCTAAAAGAGAAAAAGTTTAGTCACATTTACATCTTATGTGCCTTTTTATGCAATGTATATAAACTTCTGATTTCAACTGTATGTGTGTGTATGTGTGTAATCAGCTCTTCATCTCATGTTATGCTTGAATAGCTAAATGAATGCTCAAGTTTATTTAAATGATTATATTTTAATTACATTACAACATCGATGCTGTGGAATGAACTGTATAAAATTAAAAAAAGTCACATCGGAAGTTTATCAGTTGGTAATAAAACCCCTAGCTGTGCATAGGCCCTATTTTATTTGATAAATCATTGGTTCCTGAAGCGAGACTCATGGAAAACAGCTGCTTGTAGAAAGTACATGGAATCATGTAGCACTGCAATGAAACCCAGAGGTCTCCTCTTTTTATTTTGATGAAGTGTTGATCTAGCCCCTTGATGGATTTCAAACAGAGTGGCTTTTTTGACAGGAAAAGAGCCTAACCTTGTGGTATATATATCTTTGTGAGTACTCGCAGTTTAAGCCAAGCTAGATTTAGCGGGCCATATGTGAAACAAATTAACTACTTCTTTCATTCCGTAGGGCTGGAACTCCTCCTTTCTCATGCTTCTTTTCTCATCTGGTGTTTCTCATCTTTCTTACTCAGGTTTTGTTTTAAAGATCATTTTGGTCATCCAAGTCGATAACGATACACTAGAGAAGGATTTTATACCATGTTCAGATTACACAATATCAGCCAGCCTTTGTACCGTATTTTCCGCACTATAAAGCGCACCGGATTATAAGACGCAGTCTCAATTACAGGGTCTATTTCTGTACTTTACCCATACATAAGGCGCATGCTAAAATATACTGTCTGCAAAAAAAGGTATTGGAAGCAAAACAGTTAACATAGTTTAATTGAACTTTATTGTACTATTTAACAATACACTCACATTATTATTTTTTTAATCAGTCTTCTCCCACAAATCCATCAAAGTCCTCATCTTCTGTGTCTGAATTGAACAGCTGGGCAGTTTCGTCATCAAACACGCCGGGTTCTCTCTCATCATTGTCGAAGTCAGTCTCATTGCCGGGTGGCCGTTCAGCAATGATGCCGGCTTTTGCGAAAGCTCGGACAACAGTTAAAGCAGACACCTTAGCCCAGGCATCCACAATCCATTTACATATAACTCGCCCGGCATGCCTACCATTCTAAAAGTGTGTTTGCCGTCTGTCATCCATTGCTCCCACGCAGCTCGCAACTTCACTTTAAACGCCCTGTTTACACCTTTTTTTTGTTAGTCCTCCCGAAATGACAGCAAGCTCCAAATTCATTCAAGTTGGTCTTCTAACTGTGGCCACCTTGCTTTGTTCCCGCGGAAACTCTGTTTCGTCTTCTTAACTTGGCGCAGTTCATTTTCTTGTTTCCTCCACTTCCGAACCATAGATTAATTTATGTGGAATTGTTTCGCAGCTGCTCTATTCCCATTTACAACCGCGTAACTACACAGAGACGTTTTACACAGAGACGTTTTACGTCTCTGTGTCGGCAGGAAATGCTCCGACAGCCAATCAAGTGGAGCGCTTTTCGAAATCACACAACATTTTTACAGATTTTTGAACTCCATGCACACATAAAGCACACCGGATTATTAGGCGCACTGCCGTTTTATGACAAAATTGAAGGCTTTTAGGTGCGCCTTATAGTGCGGAAAATACGGTATATATCAAGCACAGCACAGTCTGTTTGACATGCCATGTTCATCCATGAATGGGTATTGTAATGTAAGAATGTAAATGTAAAAATGTTTCATCATGAATTTTTGACAAAAAGACTAGCATGTTTTTTTTAACCCTTTATGACTACTTTTTGGCAAAATGAAAGGAATACAAAAGAGATATATTGGTGCTTCTGTAGGTGTAATGATATGATTTTGGAAATGTTCTTAGAGCTAGGGCTGCAATCCTCCTGTATTTATAAGGATTGCTCTATTGTACGCTTACGATCATGCTTAAAGATAGCTGCTAGTTCCGCTTCTATGACATAGAGATGGTGCACATTTAGACCACGCCCACACTGCAGGCAAAAACAATCCAACCTGCTCTATTGACTTTTATGTTGTGGGACATTGTTTCCCTGTCATTCCTAACTTACTGTTAAATCATTTTTAATACATCCCGGACGAGCCCCCGATTATATGTTACATCCTTTAGAAGTTAACTATAAACTAATAGTATAAACTAACGGGATGTATGTTAAGTCCTTTAGACATAGATAGTTAGAGGTGCTTAAATCAAATAAAGGATTAGAACAAATACATTATGGACAAGCCCCCAATTATATGTTACATCCTTTAGAAGTTATTTAGAAACTAAGGGTATAAACTAACGGTATTTATGTTACGTCCTATAGACATAGATGGTTAGAGGTGCTTAAATCAAATAAACAAATAGAACAAATACATCCCGGATGAGCCCATAATTATATGTTACATCCTTTAGAAGTGATTTATAAACAAACGGTATAAACTAATAGTATATATGTTACGTCTTTTAGACATAGATAGTTAGAGGTGCTTATATCAAATAAAGGATTAGAACAAATACATTATGGACAAGCCCCCAATTATATGTTACATCCTTTAGAAGTTATTTATAAACTAAGGGTATAAACTAACGGTATACATGTTACGTCCTTTAGACATAGATAGTTAGAGGTGCTTAAATCAAATAAAGAAATAGAACAAATACATCCCGGATGAGCCCCCAATTATATGCACTCTCCTGAACCTAATGACATACTGCATAAGTTAATCTGGGTGTTGCAAATGTATATTGTGCGACTTGCTCACTTCTACACCATCTCTGAGGTATTAGTTAAAAAGTATCAGTTAACTAGACAAGTTTATGAACAAACACATTGCAATCTTAGTAGATTTTAGACAAGAGTATTTATCACAAGCCAAACAAAACCAAATTCTCTCATACAGAATTTGCTATTGCAGATTGAGTCTGGCTTTTTAAACGCTATGCGACCAAGCAATTTGTGGTGCAATCCCAGCACCAATAATTTGCATTAGCACTGGTGACAGGTAACAATTTAAATCTAAACGTCTAAACGTCTGTTGTCTTAAGATGCATCAATTATTTCAGGTGCTTGACTGTTAATATGGCCCTCCTATGGAATGGAAGAGGTCAAAGAAACTGCAGGTTTCTGGAAATCTTGATCTTGACCTTTTTTTCATTCAATTAGAAAAAAAGCTTTTGATTGAGTGAAGCTTCAATAGTTTTGGAGTACACTTGATGCTTTTGGCTTTGTGTCTACCTTTAGATGAAGGATCAAAGCTTTTTAATAGATGGATTTGGTCCCCTGTTGGTTGAAAAACAATGATTTTTGGATTATTTGTGATTTTTATTTTCTATTTTTTTGCATCACAAACACACAATGTAAAGATTCTGGTGCTAAACAATTAATATTTTTATATTACATGGGTAAAAATAAGCTGGAATTGACTTCCTTAGTATTTGTTTTTCCTACTATTGCTGTCACTATGACATCTACATATCTACTATGGACATATCCTTAAGACAGCTTTGGAACAAGTGAAGAGAGAGTAAATGATGACAGGATTTTCCTTTTTGGGTTTTTCCTTTGTCTTTACCCAATGATCTTGCTTCATTTTTCAGCTTGCAGTCCCCATTAAATGTTTGTTTTCTATGTGGTTTCCTTGCAGAGTCTGACTGGTGGCCGTCACACACCTCGATACTCCTATGATCCATCCATCTTCGCTTTCCGCCCCGTCAGCAACGTTCCACCCTGCAGCCCTGTGCTCCCTGCTGAAGAACCTCCATGTGCTTGAGAGAATGGACTGGAAGCCTGCATCGACAAAACATGACGAAGTCGTGGACCAAAAGTTCCCAGCACAATGACAGTGTATGTTTGCATTACCTGAGATATAAGTGTGAACAAAGGCCTTTTGACAAAACAGGAAGTGTGGTCAGGGCCAGAAGTGAGAGGAATGAAAGACGGCGACCTACCAACTTTAGACATTCCTTTCTCTCGGTCTCTCAGGAAACCCACTTAGAACTTGTTGCATTGACAAGGCTATGATGACCACTGCAATATCTATAAAAGTACAACCAAAAAGTTTGTTTTTTTTAATGTTAAAAGAAGACTGTTTTTTTTTTTTTTTGGAAATTGCCTCATTTTACAAGTCTCCTAAAGTTAAACAGTTGAGTTTTGCCATTTTTTATTTTATTCAGCTGATATCAGGTATGTCGGAAGCATTTTTAGCTTAGCTTAGCATAAATCATTGAACTGGATTAGATCATTAGCATCTTGTTAAAAAAACAAATTCCAAAAAGAGCTTAGTTTTGATGAAGAGTAATCTTAAAGAAGAAAATCTTCCAATTTAAAGCTTGACTCTACTGTAGTTGCATTGTGTACTGTGACTGACAAAAAATAGGGAAGATATGGATAGGAACTATACTTTAATACCAGCGTATTAATCAATAAACTTGCCATAGCATAATTGCAACAGGCGCAATGTTACGACGCACTGTTAACCTAGTTACCTAGCTTGGGACTATTTTCAGGCGCTATAAAATGTTATCGTACCTGCTTCACCATTGTACAGCAGCAAAGTTCTTTGATTTTTGACAGCGAAATGCAAAAAAATAGTTCCTAGCCATGTTGACTATGAAAATAGAAACTTTTCTGACAGTCTTCGTACACGATGTAACTACAGAAAATGTAAGATTTAATTAGGAAAATTATAAAACTCTAAAAGTGCTCCCATCAGATTGAGAGAATGGCTGAATGGATTAAAATAATATACAATTGTAAGACTTGTAAAATGAGCCTATTTCCAAAAATAAAAAATAAAAATGAGCTGTTGCTTTAGACAGGAGTGAGCAGACATAGGTAACAGTCCAGTGATAAGTATAATCCTCCTAACTGGGCCATATGGTTATTGTTGAGACTCAGTTTGAGGGTGAAATGCAAGAGCACATTTAGGTAAGGCATTAGGATGTTTAGACAGCAAAACATGATAGGAGACAATCAGTTTGATTCCTGAACAGGCCTTAATAAATAAAGCCATTTGTTATATTGCTTAGAGTAAAGAGTAAAGCAGAGAAGTAACAATCAGACACAACGAAACGCAGGCTAGATTTTCATGCTAGAAGTCATTGTTCGACTTCTGATGTTACGTAAGTCTGACCATAATTTGTCAGTAATCACAGAATGGACTGTTTGGCTGCGTCCGAAACAGCCTACTACTCAGTATGTACTGCATTTGAATTTAAAAGTATTACTCAGCCGTTAGAAAAGTACATTCTATACAGGATGCATTTTAAGGAGTGAAAAGTATTAGTGGAATTTGGACGTACTACACCTGCCATTTAGTCATGGTCACGTGACCTACCTGCATCAGTTGCGTCGTTTCATTCCCATTCATGAATTCTCTTGCGGAGCATCATGGGATAGCGCAGCGTGCATGGGATGCGCACTACAAAATTTAGCCAAAAGTAGTAAGTCATCCGGGTACTTCTCGAATTCTATGAACTCAGATGTACTACTCGGCTCGCATACTGATATTAGCGTACTGTATACTATGGAAGTATGCGGTTTCGGACACAGCCTCTGTTTTGTCTTCAAAAGCTATCAGTTCATAAGTGAAAAATGAGGTTAAACAAATCAACACATTACTAGATTTTCTTAAAGGAACACATTAATTTATTTGGGAAATACTCTCCTACAGTTTTAACAACAGTTGAGTTTTGCCGCTTTTAAATCCTTTCAGCCAATTGTTCCACGTCTTGACTCTTTGGTCTTTGATTTTTGAGCAAGATGCTAATGGTCTAATCCAGGGGTGTCAAACTCAATTCCTGGAGGGCCGAAGCCCTGCACAGTTTAGTTCCAACCCTGCTCCAACACACTTACCTGTAGGTTTCAAACAAGCCTGAAGGACTCAATAAGTTTGATCAGGTGTGTTTAATTAGGGTTGGAACTAAACTGTGCAGAGCTGCAGCCCTTTTGGAACGGAGTTTGACACCTGTGATCTAATCCAATTCAGGGATCTAAGCCAGGGGTGTCCAAACTCGGTCCTGGAGGGCCGGTGTCCTGCAAATTTTAGCTCCAACCCCAATTAAACACACCTGAACCAGCTAATCAAGCTCTTTCTAGATGTACTAGAAACCTCCAGGCAGGTGTGTTAAATGAAGCTGGAACTAAACTGTGCAGGACAGTGGCCCTCCAGGATCGAGTTTGGACACCCCTGATCTAAGCTAAACCAAACATGGTTAAACTCGACTGTTTAAATACAGGGGACTTGTAAACGAAGCTTATTTTGCCCAAAAAAGTTATGTTCCTTTAATGCCATATATAAAATACACGCCTTATGTAGCATACTCAGAAATTTGTACATAAAATACAATGAATGTTATCGTCAATATTATGTAATGTTTTGACACTGAACACACACCAGGGATGTGACTAAAGCCTTTACACATTGTTCAGAATGGAATACTAGTTTACTGCTTAATACAAAGTAAACACTGCATACATTGTGTAAACTAGGGGTGCTCAAACCTGTTCCTGGAGATCTACCTTTCTTCAGGGCTGTTTCTCAATATGCGTTCTTGCGTCCTTGTGTAATGTCGACATCCACTGCCAAAGTTCTTTTCCAAAACTCAAGAATGGAGGACGCGTGAAAGTTCCCGGATGTGTTCTTGATATCGAGGATGCATCGATGCAGAAGTCATTGTGGGCGAATAAAGGAGATGGGAAGTGCAGCATTTTATGTATCTTTATAAAAGAATAAAAACATTGAGGGTGTTAATTTGCTGAATTTCATATTAAATGAGTTTTATTTGTATTGTGCTTTGTATATTTGTATGGTCTTTATGCATAGGATATATCAGGGGTGTCAAACTCAATTCCTGGAGGGCCGAAGCCCTGCACAGTTTAGTTCCAACCCTGCTCCAACACACTTACCTGTAGGTTTAAAACAAGCCTGAAGGGTTCAATTACTTTGATCAGGTGTGTTTAATTAAGGTTGGAACTAAACTGTGCAGAGCTGCGGCCCTTTTGGAACTGAGTTTGACACCTATGGGATATATAGTAAAAAAGGGGAAAAAACAATATTTGTATGAATGCTGTAATGTTAACATAATTTTCGGTTAAAAACGCGTGAGGGTCATCAGAAAAGAACGCAGCGTTTGATTTTTCACAGGGCGCGTTGTCTGTTCTCAAAATCTCCCGAGTTCGTTCTTCTGAGGTAACTTGGCAAGACCAGTCTCCACAAGATTGCAAGTCCAATCTTAGCGTTCTTGGAATTAAGAAAAAGCCTAGATTTCAGCTCCAACCCTGATCAAGCACACCTGAACTAATTCATTAGGTCCTGAACAGTACTTCATAATTACAGACATATATGTTTGATCATGGTTGGAGTGGAAGCGCAGGAAGGTAGATCTCCAGGAACAAGGTTGGTCACCCCTGGCACACACTCAGGGCTTAATTTGTGCCGGAACACTCCGAATCCGGTACCTCTTTTTACCAATCCCCCTCCTCAACCGCCCTCCTCCCCCATCCGCTGTTCACTTTCGTCCGCAACAACCCTCCGCTCTTCACTTTTGTCCTTTGTTCGCGACTCCCCTCCACCATCCAACGCCCCCTCCCCCTTATCCACTTTCGTGCACGACACCTCTCCAACCTCGGGTAACATGCCGGATCCGTTACCCCAATCTTTTCCAGGACCTCGCAATTCACAAATGAAGCACTGCATACACTGTTTAAAAAAATACATTACATTTGTAATAAATGTTGTGAACTGTTTTCTATAGTTCCTCTTATGTACTCATTTAAATAATAAAGTACATTTTACGCTCACACTTTAAACACTTTATACCCAATTTAAAGCTACGTCATTTGAAATGTTAATAGCTTGAGGGTGTAAATAACTGAAGAATTTAAGACATAAATATTAGTGTGAAAACTTAATGTGTATATAAATGTAATATCACATTAATATTTTTTTTATTACAATTCTAATTGACTGATTAAAAAAAAGTTTATTATTTTTTAATCCTTTTTAAAGACGTTGAAATATTGACTTAACCTCAGGAGAGACAACTGAATGGAATTAGAATGATATAACCTCTCTACATCAGTAATATATTCCTATATAATTGATTCTTATGATTACAAAGATGTGCAGCATGGTTTTGTGGGTAGTGCTGTCGCCTCACAGAATGAAGGTTGCTGGTTCGAGTCACGGCTGGGTCAGTTGGCATTTCTGTGTGAAGTTTGCATGTTCTCCCCGTGTTGGCATGCATTTCCTCCGGGTGCTTTGGTTTCCCCCTACAAGTCCAAAGAAATGCACTAAAGGTGAATTGCGTAAGACAAATTGTCCGTAATGTATGTGTGTGAATGGAAGTGTATGGGTGTTTCCCAGTGATGGGTTGCGGCTAGAAGTGCATTCGCTAAGTAAAACATATGCTGGATAAGTTGGTGGTTCATTTCGCTGAAGGAAATAACCTGAAAAGAAAATGAATTAAAGATTAAAAAGATATTATTAACTTCATAAATTTAAAAATATTATGACAAAATAATTGTATTTGATTTTTGCCAGTCATGCAGTCCTATTTATAAGAAACTAAAACAAAAATCTACAAAAAACACTTAAAAATGCAAGATTTTGTATGACTTATGTTAACCAACATAAAGAACAGTCCATGTGTTGATAAATTATTGAATAATGAATAATATTCTACAAGTTAATATTTTATATTAAGGCAGTTTGCCATCTTCAAGTTGGAGGAAAGTTTTTACAGAGGGTGAAAAAGTTTAAGTATCTTGGGGTTTTGTTTACGAGTGAGGGAAGGATGGAACATGAGATTGACAGGCAGATCGGTGCAGCAGTAATGCGGTCAATGTTGTTGATGCACACTGTTGTGGAAAAGACAGAGCCAAAAGGCAAAGCTCAAAGATTTACTGGTCAGTCTGCGTTCCTACTCTCAACTATAGTCATGACATTTGAGTCATGACCGAAAGGACAAGATCTCGGATATAATTCCGCAAAATGAGTTTTCTTTATAGGGTGGCCGAGTGCACCCTTATAAATAGAGTCAGGAGTTCTGTCACCTGGGAGGAGCTTGGAGTAGAGCCACTGCTCCTCCACATCGAGAGAAGTCAGCTGAGGTGTCTGTGGCATCTGTTTCAGATGCCTTCCTAGGAAGGTGTTCCAGGCATGACACACTGGGAGGAGGCTTCTCCAAGTTGGAGGAAAGTCTTTACCCCAGGTGAAGGAGTTAACTTGGGGTTTTGTTCACGAGTGAGTGAAGGATGGAACATAAGATTGACAGGTGGATCGGTGCAGCAGTAATGCTGTCGATGTATCGTTCCGTTGTGTTAAAGAAAGAGCTGAGCCGAAAGGCAAAGCTCTCGATTTACCAGTCAGTCTATGTTCCTGTTCTTACGTATGGTCATGAGCTTTGGGTCATAACCGATAGGACAAGTCCTCTGATATAATCGGCCAACATAAGTTCCCTGTGCAGGGTGACAGGGCACACCCTTATAAATGGAGTGAGGAGCTCTGTCACTCAGAAGGAGCTCGGAGTCGCTGCTCCTCCACATCGAGAGAAGTCAGCTGAGGTGGCTCTGGCATCTATTTCAGATGCCTCCTGGACGCCTCCCAAGAGAGGTGTTCCAGGCATGCCCCACTGGGTGGAGACCTCGGGATAAATCCAGGACTATATCTGGAGGGACTATATCTCTCGGCAGGCCTGGGAACGCCTTGGGATCCCCTCAGAGGAGCTGAAGGAAGTGTCTGGGGAAAGGGAAGTCCTGGGGTTCTCTCCTGAGACTGCTGCCCCAAAAAAGTGGTTAAAAATAAATGAATGAATAATGTTTTACATTGGAAAAAATGGTAAATCCTCCCTTAAGCTACATCCGAAAACACTGTTCACATAATTTATTCCCAATGTGATGTAGTCGTTTTCATTTTTTAAAACATCATAAAATTATAAGAAGTAATTTTGCATAAATTATTTTCTGAAAGTCACTTTTCTGAAAACTTCACATTTTCAAAAACAGCTTAACATTTTTCATAGGTCTTTTTTTTTTTTTTGCCAAAGGAATTTTTAAATACATAACACGATTGTATTCGTTCATTCATTCATTTTCTTTTCGGCTTGGTCCCTATATTAATCCGGGGTCGCCACAGTGGAATGAACCGCCAACTTATCTAGCACATAACACTATTTATTAAAATTATATATATTATTATTTAAAATGATATTATTTAAATACTATAGTTATCTGTTTTTGCAAATCAAATCTATTTGTGTATATTATACTCGAGCAAGAAAACACATGTACAAGCATAGTATAGCATTCTGAACACAAACTAATGCGATATCCTTCTGCTGTGTGTAAAAAAAAGAAGTACATCAGTCAAAACATGATCATAATATTGACAACTGGAATCCTATCAATGCAGTATATTTTAGAACCAACGATTGAGGATTTAATTTTGGGTGTAATTTTCTTCGCAGTATACTTATATACAATACATTATGAAAACTGCAGTTTCTGATCTGCGAATGAGTAAATAAGCTAGAGCAACCATATGGTGAACAATAAGGACAAATGTTAATAGTTGTTGCATTGGTTTCACCTAGGTGTTTTGTGTATCTCTCTCTAACAAATACAACATATATATATTTTTAAACATAGCTATGGGACAAACAGTACTTGCTTTCAACGTGAAAAGTTGTCCTTTACTGTCTCAGTGCCTCAAATGAGGGAAATAAATGTTTTTTTTTTTTCTTAGTTTGTGTCTTGTTACTTTACTGTTTTTCAATTTATTGTTTTGATTTTTCATATTGCAAAAAACTGTTTGAAGCTCTTAGAAGAAAATGAGCTCCCTTTGACCATTTGTTTAACCGTGGCGACGCAGTGGCGCAGTAGGTAGTGCTGTCGCCTCACAGCAAGAAGGTCGCTGGTTCGAGCCTCAGCTGGGTCAGTTGGCGTTTCTGTGTGGAGTTTGCATGGTCTCCCTTTGTTTGCGTGGATTTCCTCCGGGTGCTCTGGTTTGCCCCAGTCCGAAGACATGCAGTATAAGTAACTTGGGTAGGCTAAACTGTGTGTAGTGTAGGTGCGCGAATGAGTGTGTATGGATGTTTCCCAGAGATGGGTTAAAGGTGGAAGCGCATCCGCTGTGTAAAACATGTTGACGGTTGATTAATAAAAGGGCTAAGCCGAAAAGAAAATTAATGAATGATGTTTAACCATTTTTTTATCTATTCAGCAGATCTCTGGATCTAGTCCAGGGGTGGGCAAAATCGGTCCTGGAGGGCCGGTGTCCTGCGCAGTTTAGCTCCAACTCTAATCAAACACACCTGCTTATAGATTTCTAGTGATCTTGAAGACACTGATTAGTTTGTTCAGGTGTGTTTGACTAGTGTTGGAACAAAACTCTGCAGGGACACCGGCCCTCGAGGATCAAGTTTGCCCATCCATGGTCTAGTCTGACCATTTTTAGCTTAGCATAAATGACGGAATAACATTAGACTATTAGCACATCAAAAATCTGCAGTACGCCTATACTCGCATTCACATACATGCATAAATTACACGTACAGGTACCCTCAAACAAACACACATATGTATATCTATGTGTACCGGCCACTTTGTTAGATACACTTTACTAGTACCGGGTTGGACCTTTTTTTGCCTTCAGAACTGCCTTAATTCTTCGTGGCAAAGATTCAACAAGGTACTGGAGATATTCTTCAGATTATGGTCCATATTGACATGATAGCATCACGCAGTTGCTGCAGATTGGTCAGTTGCACATCCATGATGTGAATCTCCCGTTCCAGCACATCCCAAAGGTGCTCTATTGGAATGAGTTACAGTGACTGGGGAGGCCATTTAAGTACAGTGAACTCATTGTCATGTTCAAGAAACCAGTCTGAGATGATTCACACTCTATGACATGGCATGTTATTCTGCTGGAAGTAGCCATTAGAAGATGGGCACACTGTGGTCATAAAGGGACGCTCATGGTCAGCAACAATACTTAGAAACTGGCATGGTGTAAAATACAAATAAGCAACACACATTTCTAAGGCGATTTTCATGGTCTGAAAATATAGACTGCAGACACGGTAGGTTCACTGAAAATATTTATTCATTAGATTAACTACATTTTTTTTAAAGGCAAATGGTTGCAAACAATTTGTATGGGCCGAATTTAAACAAACTTAATGTAGTAATTGTTAGCTGTCGCCTTACAGCAAGAAGGTCGCTGGTTTGAGCCTCGGCTGGGTCAGTTGGCGTTTCTGTGTGGAGTTTGCATTTTCTCCCTGCGTTTGTGTGGGTTTCCCCCACAGTCCGAAGACATGCGGTACAGGTGAATTGGGTAGGCTAAATTGTCCGTAGTGTTTGCGTGTGAATGAGTGTGTGTGGATGTTTCCCAGAGATGGGTTGTGCCTGGAAGGGCATCCGCTGTGTAAAAACGTGCTGGATAAGTTAGCGGTTCATTCCGCTGTGGCAACCCCTGATGAATAAAGGGACTAAGCCGAAAAGAAAATGAATTGTTAAACTTAATTTGTTTAAATTCAGCCCATATAAATTGTTTGCAACCAGTTGCCTTTAGAAATTGTAGTAAATCCAATGAACCACGTTTTCCTGTTATATTAAGTTTTAACAATAAAATATAAACTTTAACACGGTATTTGGTCTATATATTTATTTTATTTTTTTTAAATAAATTAAATCATCACAGAATGAAAGCCAAATATAAAGTGCTTATGCAAAGAGAAACGTGTGTGTGTGTGTGTGTGTGTGTGTGTGTATGTTTTTGTATGTCATATCACAAAGCAGGCTTTACATAGTTAAGGCTTTAATGATCCAAAAACACTCAAGCAACCACAAATTAGAGACAGAAGCAAAATGTCTATTTAAGTAGACATACACACAAAATACAAAAAGTCTCCAAGCAAATGGAGAATTCAATAGAACTAAAAGTGATGGACAAACTGAGAGAGACCAGTGAATAAGTAGGCCTAAAAAAATCCAAGCCAGCTCACACTCTCACACATCACCAACAGTCACTCTTCATTAATATGAAGAAACAGCGAATACACACAAATGATGTGCACAGAGCTCACTTTCACTGCCTTTTATGCAAACACACACACACAGACGGACTGATTCATTAACAGCTTGCTCCCAATCCTAGAATGCCAAGGAAGTGTCCAGATGGCTGGTAAAGCCACCTCTCTCTGAGGAGGCATCGTTAGTAGTCAACAGAACTGCATCCAAAAGCGAGCTCTTGCCATACAGTGTGTGTGTCCACTCAGCCAATCAGAGCAGGGAGTGTGTGCAGGGATGACCAAACAGCCAACGGAGTGGTCAATGAGTTTGCTTTATGGGATAGTTCACCCAAAAATGAAAATTTCCTGTTAACTTACTCCCCCAATAGGTCATCCATATGTAGATCCGTATAATGCTTTCAATGGTGGTAGATTAAAAATAAAGACATACAAACAACTCCAAATCAATAGCCATGGCTTCTGATGACACATTGACGCCTTCTAAAGTAAAACGATCACTCTGTGTAAAAAATTAAACAGTATTTACATTATTATGAATCTTAATCCACAGCCTGGTCAAACTGTTCACAGCATGTCTAAATGTAGTCCTGACGTTTTGATGACAAATACATGAGGATTAGTGACAAAATCTCCGATATGAATTGATTATGTACAGCAGGCTTTAAATTTTGAGAAATGCCCTGTGAAAATAACATGACCTGACACGTTACAGGGTCTGAAAGGTTTAAAGCAACAGGAATACAACTGGACTACATTCGCATAATCGCGCCAAGATCTGTTCGACCAAGCTGTGGATTGAAGCTAATCTTGTAAATAATGTCCACAGACTGATTGTTTGGCTTCAGAGGACCTCTGTGTCATCAGGAGCCATGGCTATTGATTTGGACTTGTTTGTACGTGTTTATTTTTAATCTCAAAAGACTGTCCCCATTGACTGCCATTAAAAGATTCACAACAGATTGATAGAAAAATAGTCTTTAATGATCTACTGAAGAAAGAAAGGGCACCTAGATCTCAAATGACCTGTAGATGAGTACATTCATTTTTGTGTGAACTGTCCCTTTAAGATTATTTAAAATGATCCCAGAACGGAAATTTGTGGCTAGAGATTTTTGTCACCAACGACAGTGATCAAACAACTGACATGATATTGTCATTAAGAAAATATAACGTCAAAATGAAATATATTGTATCTGAAAGAACAGCAAAAAAATAAAAATAAATCCAAAATACAGTTTGAGAAATCTTCTAGACCAGTGGAGCATTTTTGTTTTGCTAGCATATAGGACAGTATGCGGAAGTAAATGTTGATATAAACAACAATGAAAATAGACCTTTTTGCAAACCTTAAAGTGATAGTTCACCAAAAAAAAAAAGAAATTTATTTCTTTAACTACTCCCCCTCACGTTGTTCAAAACACAGTTTAAGAAACTTTAGGTGTAAACGAGAGCTCCCTCATCCTCCATTTTCAGAGAAGTACTGAAAAAACTCCTCAGAAACAGGTCATTATGCCTTCAGTGGATCAATCGGAATAATATCAAGCTAAAAAACACAAATAATATTGACAGTTTCTTCTCCTCAGTGTCAGTATAGGGCGCACACTCACATATCATGCTTACCACAAATACGCCCATGCTTTGTTTCAAACAGAGAAGGTTTTGCTTGAAAGTGGCACTTTAGAATGCGCACAATATACTGACACTGAGAAAAAGAAAATGTTGAATAAAGTTATTATTTTTGTTATATGTGTGTGATAAGTCAATAGTTACAGACATTCAGCTTTCTTCAAAAATATCGTCTTTAGAGTTCAGCAGAAGAAACAAACTCAAAGATTTGGAATCACTTTAGGGAGAGTAAATAGTGAGTGAATTTTCATTTTTGTGTGAACTTTTCATTTAAGCTTATTAAAATGATCCAAGAACAGAAAATTGTGACATGAGATTTTTGTCACCAATGACAGTGATCAAACAACTGACATGATATTGTCATTAAGAAAATATAAAGTCAAAATAAAATATATTGTATCTGAAAGAGCAGAAAAACAACAAATAAAATCAAAAAAATCAGATTCAGAGAAATTAGTTCTTCTACACCAATGGAACATTTTTAATTTGCTAGCATATAGAACAGTATGCGGAAGTGCTGATCTAAAAATAGACCTTTTTGCAAATCTTAAATTGTTAGTTCACCCAAAAGTGAAATGATGTCATTAATTACTCCCACCTCATGTTGCTCAAAACACAATTAAAGATATTTTAGGTGTAAACCGAGTGCTCCCTCATCCTCAGTGTCAGTATAGGGTGCACGCTCACATATTATGCTTATCACAGATATGCCTGTGCTTTGTTTCAAACAGAGAAAGTTGCGCTCAGAATCGGGACTGCAAAACAACAAATAAATCCAAAATACAGTTTGAAAAATTAGTACTTCTCAACCAGTGGAAAGTTTTTGATTTGCAAGCTTATAGGACAGTATGCGGAAGTAAATGCTGATCTGAAAACAGACATTTTTGCAAACCTTTAAGCATAAATTCACCCAAAAATGAAATGTCATTAATTACTCCTACTCAAGTTGATCAGAACACAATTAAAAATATTTTAGGTGTAAACCGAGAGCTTCCTCATCCTACATTTTCAGAGAGGTACTAAAAAGAGTCCTCAAAATAGATCTATACGCCTTCCGTAGTTCAATCGGAATAATATCAAGCTACAAAATTCAAAAATATTTTTTTGATTAAAGTTTCTCAGTGTCAGTATAGGGCGCACACTCACATATCATGCTTACCACAGATACGCCTGTGCTTTGTTTCAAACAGAGAGAGTTGCGCTCGGAACTGGAGCTTTTCAATGCGCACAATATACTCACACTAAGAATAAGAAAATGTTGAATAATTTGTTATTTTTGTTATATGTGTGCGATAAGTCAATGGTTACAGATTTTCAGCTTTCTTCAAAACATCATCTTTAGAGTTCAGCAGAAGAAAGAAACTCAAAGATTTGGAATCACTTTAGGGAGAGTAAATAGTGAGTGAATTTTTATTTTTGGGTGAACTATTCCTTTAATATCATCACAATCAACAAGGGGGAAGAAAAGTATATGTTTACCTGATGGAGGAACCCAAACACAGTAGTCTGGGTCATCCTCTGGGTACTTGGACATGGTCACGGGCGAGAAACAAGACTTTTGAATGTGCACAAAAAACTGACACTGAAAATAAGAAAACTTTTTTAGAAAGTAGTTATTTTTGTTTTACGTGTGCGATAACGTTTTCTCATAATCTGATAATATTCCAATTGAAGCACTGAATGCAAACTGTAAAAAGCAATTACTTAATAAAGTTTATTTTACTTAAAAAATAATTAAGTATTTCTGTTGTAACACTTAGAAGTGTTACATTTACTTGTTTTTAAAAGTACATAGCTCATTTTCTCAATAATTTGAAGGCAATGTGTTTACTCACTTTTTCAACTAATCACTTTTTATAGTATAAAACTGCCTTGAATTTATTAGGTAAAAGAGCTATGTGCCTAAATCTAAACAAACAAGTTCAGTGAACTTAACCGGTTTAAGAATTACTTAAATGTTTAAAGTAAAATCAACTTGTCACTTTTAAAGAGAAGGATTTACTGTTTATTACAGTGTATGATCTGTTTTGAGGATGGTTCTTTTCTGAACTTTCAGCAAATAGGGGACCTTGCAGTCTATGGAAGATGAGGGAGCTCTCGGATTTCACCTAAATAACTTCATTTGTGTACTGAAGATGAATGAAGGTCTCAAAGATTTGAAAAGACATGGGGATTACCAATTAATAACATAATTTTCATTATTTTTGTGGTGAACTAACCCTTTAAGCAATGTCCACTCCAAAACTCTCCCAAAAACATCCTAGACATTTGGCTAACAGGCCAGTTGTGGAAAATGAATGCATTCGAATGAAAATCGCATGATGTGAAAATCAGTTTCCATGTCCAAATAACATCTGAGCTCATCTGTGCTGCTTGTGTTCCTCGATGTTCCTTGTATGGAGTGAAAACGCAGATGCAGAGAGAAAATGATGTTCACTTTTCGAAGTCTAGAACATGTGCCTCAAACTCGATTTCTGGAGGGCTGCAGCTCTGCACAGTTTTGGTCAAACCCTAATCAAACACAGCTGATCCAACTAATCAAGGTGCTCAAGACTTTAAAGCAGGTGTGCGTTGAAGAAAGTTGAAGCTAGACTATGCAGAGCTGTGGCACTCCAGGAATTGAGTTTAAGACCACTGGACTAGAATGAATGTTGAGTTGACTCCATTTTAGTGAAGATGGCCTCCCCTTTTCGGTTTTCAGTATCCATACTTATCATTCAGATGTGTCCGACCATCACCAGTCTGACCTATTCAAAGCAGGGTAAAATAAAGTCCAAATGTCTGGTTAAAGCCAACATGAAATGACATCTGCAATATAAATAATTTCCATAATTACACAATGTACATTTATTAATACGATAAATGGAAATGACCTTAATGTATAGATATTGTAGAATCGCATTAAAAACATAACAGAGCAATGAACCTGACAGACAAGCTATACAAAAATTGGTCTCAATGATACTGTACACACAGTAAAAAGTATTTCATAGCAGATTATAGACAATAAAATACACTTTAGGCCAATGGTGAATCTTTGTCTATCGGTTACATCATCAATTGCCAGATTTCTAACAGACTATAATACTGAGAACAGTTTGTTTTCTTTATGTTAGCTTAACATTATTCCAACATAATCAACATACTAACAAAATGGAGGATCTCTTTTTCTCTCACTTTTTTATTTATAGAAATTAAGAAACTCTAAACTTGTAATAACCTCCAGCCATTAAAGCAAATCCCTTTGTGCAGTCTTTAATGTGTTTTCTCATAATGAAAGTACCTAAATCCTTACAAACTTCAAGATTGTTTTGAAGTGTCTTATAAACAAAGCTATTAATCTCTGTTTGTTAAATTTAGTATTCAGTTACAGTCTATAAATTGAGTTTAAAATGGTGCAGTGCTTAAAATTTTAGATTTTTTATGTACTTTTCTAACTGCACAAATTGACTAAGCCACTTAGAGATTTGTATATCAGCACAAGTACTATTTAAAGGGATAGTTCACCCAAAAATGAAATTTGTCATAATTTACTCACCCTTTGCTTGTTTCAAACCTTTAGGAGATTTTTAGTTTTTTTTTACTGCCGAACACTAAAGAAGGTATTTTAAATAATGTTAGAAAACTGTAACCATTGACTTCAATAGTATCTGTTTTTCAGTGGAAGTCAATGGTTTTCAGCTTTCTTCAAAATATCTTCTTTAGTGTTTAACAGAAGAAAAAAACTCTTCAAGATTTGGAACCACTTGGGGAAGATTTAATGTAGGTACATTTTCATTTTTAGGTGAACTACTAATTTAATATCATCAACAAGGGGGAAGAAAAGTATATGTTTACCTGATGGAGGAACCCAAACACAGTAGTCTGGGTCGTCCTCTGGGTACTGCTTGGACATGGTCACAGGAGGCTAGAGGAAAGGGTATACATATGAATATAGCTGGATGGACACAACAAAACCCCATACTAAAACCGTAAGTTTTAAAAACATATATAAAGTTATATATGCAAGGCATATACAGGAATCAGAGAGTGAAATTCAATGCTTTTTAAGACCTCTTTTAAGACTCTTTGAATACATTTCAAAACCTCATCATCACTTCAGGTTTTAACCAAAGCTGACATTTAACTTGTAGTACACTTACTAAATACTAAACGCAAGAAACAAACCCTAAACTAAAACTGTATTTATATAATGAATAAAAATAACGGCGGCTTTACAGCAGCAGGGATAACAGCGTTTGCCTGATTACTGCTGTAAACAAAGCAGCATGATGTCAAATCTAGCAGGATTTATTTATTTTTTTGATCTCATAAACTACACAGCATCCTGATATTCAAAGATTAAATTCAAGAACACTTTAACATAATGATGCTGAATTTAATACCTTGTAATTTGGCATTTAAGACTTTTAAATACTTTTTAAGGGCCTTAAATTTATTTATTTAATAATTTATTAAATAATTAATTATTTATTGCCACATCAGCAACTTATGGCTATTTCATGGCAAAATGGATATACATACAAATATTAGATGATAAAAACAAATTTATATTACAAAGTATATTACAAAGTACTCTCCTTATAAAAATTGTCTATTGGTAATCAAACTTCCACATTCCAACAAAATCTGTTTGATGGTGAGAGCAGCTTGGCAGTTATTACATTTAGGTGGTGCTTCGTTATCCAGTAAATACAAATTTGTCAACCTAGAATGTCCAATTCAACATCTAGTATAGACAGTTTGATGATCCTAGACTCAAAATTGTCATTTGTAAAGTGTCTTTCATTTATTTTTTGGTTAATTTCATATAATTTATTATTTATGCAGTTGTCCTATTCCCTTTGCCATGTTTTGTTTATATACAAATTAATTTTAGGTTACAAGTCCTCAGGAGGTCTTACACGGTCTTACTAGGTATACTTGAGACATCCAGGCAGGTGTGTTGAGGCAAGATGGAGCTATTCCGGCCCTCCAGGACCAGGATTGGTGACCCCTGATCTAGAGGCTTAAATATCTCTAAATTAATTAATAGATTTTTAATACTTTTTAAACCCTGTGGATACTCTATTATGGTACATATGAAGGAAGAGTTCACCCAAAAATGAAAATTATGTAATCATTTTACTTGCCCTTAACTACATATCATATTGTGATTTTTTTTGTTCTGTTAAACATAAACAAGGATATACTAAAGATGCTGTAACCACTGACTTCCATGGTAATTGATTTTCCTACTATGGAAGTCAATGGTTACAGGTTTCCAACATTCTTCAAAGTATCTTCTATTTTGTTCAACAAAAAGAAAAAAAAGAAAAACTCAAAATGAAAACAGAATTGTCATCACTTTTGGGTGAAGTTAAACTTTAAATCAGCGTTTCTAAGCCCCAGTCCTAGCAACTGCACATTTCCAATATTTCGCTTTTCATGTCAAACTGGTTTAATTTGACAATAAGTGCCCTAAAAATTGGATACCACAGGATATCAACAGGACCCTAATTTCGGTTAGGTTTTGTCTACATCCACATAATGGCATGCAATTTTGTGTTTATTCATCTTCATTTCTAAAGCTCTTTTACGATGTAGATTGTGTCAAAGCAGCTTAACACAGTAAAGTTCTAGTAAACTGAAACTATTTAGGTTCAGTTTTCCAAAATTTATGTATAAATAAAATAATGTGCGTGTGTATGTGTGTAATATATATATATATATATATATATATATATATATATATATATATATATATATATATATATATATATAAATATATTTATATATATATATATCAGAGCTCGAAATTGCGACCATTTTGATCGTATATGCGCCCGAAAATTAATCTATATGACCTCATAATATATTTGGGCGCATTGGTGCGACTGCATATAATGGTTGTAGTGCAACCTGTTTTTGGCAGTGCGATATGGCTGTAAATCAACACTGGTGGGACGCTAAGGCACTCAGCCTACGGCCTCGTGCCAACACACGCCTCCCACCCGTTGAAAAAATTTGACCTTGCGATATTTTTTTTCTGCGATATATATTGGGATATGAATGCAATTTTAACAGATCGTTCCTTTGGATTGTTCGGGGTGAATTTGTAAGGGTTTGAATCATGTACAAAAAGTAATAAAGACAATTGCAATCAAAAATAAGTGCAGTAAAGCAATGAAAAAAGCAAAATAAACAGTGCTTTATGGTTTTCTGTAGAGTCAAACAGTAGTCAGGTACAGACATTGAAAAATGAAATAAAATAACAGTATAGTCTTCACTGTATTAAATCAATAAAATTATTCTTCATTAAAGTTACAAATGTACTTCTTGGTGCTTTAAACTCTGTTGAAATGCCTTTAAAGCACATGCAAATGATAAAGTTTCAAGCTGTTTTGGTTAGACTTTGCAAAGACTCAAATCTCATGAATTCTTAATTGTTGAGCTGATAAACTATAAACCCAACTCAACATTGCATATACTGATGTGACTATTGCAGACACGTTGTGATATCGATGCTGAAACGATATATTGTGCGCACATATATAAATATACATATATATATATATACATATATATATATATATATATATATATATATATATATATATATATATATATATATATATATATATATATCTCACGCACGCACGCGCACACACCCACACACACACACACACACACACACACACCCCCACACACCCCCACACACACCCACACACACCCACACACACCCACACACACCCACACACACACACACCCACACACGCACACACACGCACACACACGCACACACACGCACACACACGCACACGCACGCACACGCACACACACGCACACACACGCACACACACGCACACACACGCACACACACACACACACGCACACACACACACACACGCACACACACACACATGGTGTGCATTTTCTGATAGATGTTCGCTTCAGGATGGAGTAACACGTTCTTTCTTATGCATTTTTAAATATTAGTAAAGATGAATGTTTAAGAGCCTAGATTATATAATGACCTCAGTGTCATCCCTCTTCAGAGTAAATCAGGAATACTATGTGTGTGATTGCTTTTCTGTATGCCAAAAGATTTGTTTCCTCAGGATCATGAGTGAAGCAGAACTCTTAATGAATTGGAAAGAACTGTTCAGTTGTTATTTGCTATGTGTTAATTAAGTCTAAAGTGAAATTTGACATTTTAAGTGTTAAATCTTTTAAAGTTAGTTCTTTTGTATGTAAGCTGCCAGATTGGATGTAGATTATGCTGGTTTTTAACCAGTTTTAGTAAAACAGCTGGATCTGACCTTTAAAATTCCATGCTATTCCAGAAATTTGAAGAAATTACATAATAAAACATTTATTGTGGACACATCTTATTTATTAAATAGAAAATGTCCAAATGTTTTTTGTAATTATCTACTACTAAAATAAATACCTTGCTTGGGCCAATAACTTTCTTCTTTGCGCATGTCTTTGGATTCTGGACATTAGAGGCTTTGTTGTTAACTCCTGTTGGAACATAAATCATAACTGCAAATGTGCGCTGGACAAAAAGATCAATTGTTGCAACCAAAAAGTCACATTTTATACTATATTACAAAAGAAACCTTACAAATACTGTAATATGTGATTGTCTACCTTTTGGAGAAGGGTCATCTTTTTTAGGAGAAATCACTGTCTTAGCAGGCTGGTCCTCATGCTCTTCTTTTTTTAAGACACACACATAAATGTTAAAGAAGAAGAAAAAAACTGTTAACTACGAATCTATAAACTATTTTAAAGGGACAGTTAACAAAAAACTGATTCTGTCATCATTTGCTCACCCTTCACTTGAAACAAACCTGTTTCAGTTTTTTTTTTTTTTTCTGTTGAACAAAACATGAATGTAAAAATTGAATGTAACCATTGATTTCAATAATATTTGTTTTTCCTCCTATAGGTGTCGGCGGTTACCGGTTTTTGACATTATTCAGAGTATCTTCTTTTGTGTTCAACTGAAAAAAGGAAACTTAAAAAGGATTAGGACCACTTGATGATGTATAATAGTGAGTAAATAAACATTTTGGGATGAACCACCCACTTAAATGCAAAAAAAAAAAGTTTAACTTCAATTTCAAAGGTGCACAAGTAACATTATTTGATAAAAAAGCATACATAAAGAAGCAGAGCACTCAGCACTGCCTTCTTGTGGTCGAAAATACAGATACACCACTCTGGGAATAATGCATTACAAGTACTTTATACAATTCTTAAAGGGATAGTTCCCCCCAAAAAATCAGTCATTATTTACTCACTTGCTTTAAAACTGACTTTCTTTCTTCTGTTGAACACAAAAAGGGACTGTGACAAAATACCAGAACAGCTGATACTTTGATTTAAGTCAAAAACGAAAAGATTGTTGAACTGTTGTATAAACGCAATACCACACGAGTAGCAGTGCGATATGGCTGTATATCAGCACTGGTGGGACGCTACAATACTTTTGATTTTAGAAGTGATTTCTTTGTAAGGAAACTGTTTCCGTTTTAGTCTGCTGTAGTAGAAGATGTTTATTTTACTATTCTGATAAGATGCCTGCTAGAAAGCAAGTCAACCTTGAACTATTCTTGCTTCTTGGCCTCTTAGCTAAGATCAAGCGATTGCCTCTTGGAGGTCTCTTGGCTTGAGATTTTCTTTATACAGTATCATAAGCTCGCAACCATTGAGAGTTATGGCCTAATGATTAAAGAGTTGAACTTGTAATCGAAAGGTTACAGATTTGATTCCTGGAGTCCCTGGAAGGCAGGAGAATGAATGAACCGCACTGTCTCCAACTTCCAATACACAGCTGAGGTGCCCCTGATCGAGGAATCAAACCCCTACTTACTCCCAGGATGCTGGAAGTAATAGTTGCCTCTTGCTCTGGGTGTATGCTCACTGTGTGTGTGTGTGTGTGCACTTGGATGGATCAAAAGCAGAGGACCAATTTAGAGTATGATTAACCATGCTTGACAATGACTTAAAGTGCTAACACTTCTGCTGTATATGTGTTCTTTAGACTAAATGACTGCCACTATTGGTCAGCTCCTTCACAAATAGCCTTTTGAATATCCTGTTACTTCTGCGTCCTGTCAAATATTAAATAATCATGGAGAAGATACGCTTTACATATGGCATTTCTGTGCGGAGTTTGCATGTTCTCCTCGTGTTTGCATGGGTTTCCTCCGGGTGCCCCTGTTTACCCCACAGCTCACAGACATGTGGTACAGGTTAATTGAATGTAATAAATTGTCCAAAGTTTATGAGTGTGAATGGTTGTTTTCCAGTATTGGGTTGCAGCTGGGAAGGGCATCCGCTGCATAAAACCTTCTGTTAGTGTATAACTGCTGTGATTTTGTGACTGTGTGCAGAGCAGTCATTAATTCTACTCTATTTCCTTTAGTAAATTTGTCTCTCGTTGTATTCCTGACCTTGGTTTTTGTTTATCGTATGGGTTATTGTTTAACCGTACATTTCCCTAACAATTAAAATGGTTCCCCTAACCTGTAACAATTGATTTCCATGGTATTTGTTTTCCTACTATGGAAGACGATGCTTACAGGTTTCCAGCTTTCCTCAAAATAGTTTATTTTGTGTTCAACAGAAGAGAGAAACACATAAAAGGTTTGAAACCATTTAGGAGAGAGTTGACATACAAAAGAATTTTTAAAATGAAATTAAAATGAAAACGTACTCACTAATTACTCTTCCTCAAGTGGTTTCAAACATTTATGAGTTTCTTTCTTCTGTCAAATTTAAAAGAAGATATTTCAAAGAAAGCTGAAAACCTGTAACCATAAATTTGCAAAGAAACACCAATACTATGGAAGTCAATGTTTACAGGTTTCTAACATTTGTGTTTAACAGAAGAAATAAACTCATAAAGGCTTAAGACCACTTGGGAGTAAATATTCTTTATTTTTGAGTGAACTAACCCTTAAAATGAAAATGTACTCACTATTTACACTCTCTCAAAGGGTTTCAAACATTTATGAGTTTCTTTCTTCTGTTGAACACAAAAGAAGTTATTTAGAAGAAAGCTGACAACCTGCAACAACTGACTTTGATAGTAGGAAAAACAAATACAATGGAAGTCAATAGTTACAGGTTTCTAAATTTAAAAAATATATATATTGTGTTTAACTGACGAAAGAAACTCAAAAAGGCTTGAAACCACTCGAGAGTGAGGAAATTTTTATTTATTTTTGGGTAAACTATGCCTTGAAATGAAATATTACTTACTATTTACTCTCCCTCAAGTGGCTGCTAACCTTTATGAGTTTCTTTCTTTTGTTAAACACAAAAGAAGATATTTTGAAGAAAGCTGAAAACCTGTAACTATTGACGTCCATAGTAGGAAAAACAAATACTGTGAAAGTCAATGGTTACAGGTATCTAATATTTTTCAAAATATCTTCTTTTGTGTTTAACAGAAGAAATAAACTCAAAGGCTTGAAACCACTCGAAGGCGAGTAAATTCTTTATTTTTGGGTGAACTATCCCTTAAAATGAAAATGTACTCACTATTTACTCTTCCTCAAGTGGTTTCAAACCTTTGAGTTTTTTCTTCTGTTGAATTTAAAAGAAGATATTTTTAAAAAAAGCTGAAAACTTGTAACCATAAACTTGCAAATCAAGAAACACAAATACTATGGAAGTAATTGGTTATAGGTATCTAACATTTTTTTTAAATATCTTCTTTTGTGTTTAACAGAAAAGAAACTCATAACGGCTTGAAACCACTCGAGGGTAGTTAAATTTTCTTTATTTTTGGGTGAACTATCCCTTTAAATTAATATTTACTCACTATTTACTCTTCCTCAGGTGGTTCCTAAAATGTATGAGTTTCTTTCTTCTGTTGAACACAATAGAAAAACTTTTGAAGTGAGTTGAAGTTCTGTAACCGCTGACTTGCAAAGTAGGAAAAACAAATACTACGGAAGTCAATGGCTACAGTTTTCTAACATTCTTCAAAATATCTTCTTTTGTGTTTGACAGATGCAACAAAATGATGACAGAATTGTCATTATTGGGTAAACTGTCCCTTTAAAAGCAAATAAGGCTGCATGTATTTATTTAGGCAAAGGCTTTCACCTTTAGGTTGTTGTGTCTGAGACTCAGCACTGTCTGCAGAGTGTTCTGAGATGGCTGTCTCTACAGACTGTATAACCTCCATGTCCCCATCAGTGACCACATCCTCTGCCTCGCTGTTTTCTTCCTCCTCTACCTCTTCTTCACCACCAGGGGGCATTTCCTTCATAGTGAAGAGCTCTGGAGGCAAACTTGTCCGCTTTGGTGGTAAATTCTACTTATTTATGTAAGACAGAAAATTACAGAAATTACAGAGTTTTGAAAGCAATGACCTACACTGCTGGTAAAAATAAAAATGTTAGAAAGACTTACTCCAATAGTTCCAGTCTTCAGTTTGAATTTACTCCCTCCTTTCATGGCTCCAAACATCGGTAAAGATAATTTCTTAGGTTTGTCGGAGTCTGAAGACTGAGTATGAGATCTGAATGTACAAAAATAAAATAAAAAAACCTTTTGACCTTTTTGACAAATACATTTAATAAACAAATTACTTCAAATTTAAATCAAGCACTTTCAAGGCTCCATGTTGGTTTTTAAATACTTTCCAGGCCTTGAATCCATATGTCTGAAATGAAAGTACTTTCAAGAAGCGTGGGAATCCTTATAAAACTTATAAAAAAAGAATGAAAAGTTTGAAAGAAAACACAGATCTCATGATCTCACCCGCTAGACAGCAATGAAGGCAGCTGTGTGGGTTTAGCCAGCTCCACTAGCCTGCTCAATCTCTGACCTTCCTTCTTTAAGTCGGCTATATGTAAGTGCAACTTCTTTCTTTCCACCCCATCCAGAGCAACCTCGCTCCGTACAGCGGTCATAAAAGCATCCAGAGGATCCTCGGTGGATGAACCGGAGCCTCCTGAATAACAATAACAAAAAAAAACAAGCGTGACCTTACCTTACAGATGATAAAATACTGAGATGAATTGGAAAAGTCTTCCACTGCCTCACCTTTCCCAGATAAATTTAGCTTTTTCTCGGTGTCAGCCAGCTCTTTTTCAACATCAGCCAGCTTGGCTAGCTAAGAAAGAACATATTCTACATTAATACCAGTTATAGAACATACAGCAGCAAGGGTAATTAAAAGGAAAGTTCACGCAATAAGGAATATTTACTCACCCACAAGTAGTTCCAAACATTTCTGAGTATCTTTCTTCTATTGAACACTGAATGAGATATTTTAAAGAAAGATAAAAACCTGTAACTGTTGACTTCCATGGTAAGAAAAGACAAATACCATGGAGGTCAATGGTTACAGGTTTCCAACATTCTTCAGAAGACATTCTTGTGTGTTCAACAGAAGAAAAAGAGGTTTGGAAAAGGTAAAGAAATGATGACAGAATTTTTAGCTTAGGGTGAACAAACCCTTTTTAGAGTAAATATGTTGCAGGTTGCTTACAAGTGACTCATATGTATCAGGACGCTCTTGAATCTTTCCGGCCTTTTTCATCCGCTCTGTTCGCTTCTTCTCCACTACACCTGTCCGGTCAAGGAATGTGTCGTCATCACTGTCATAAAAATCATCATCTTCCCAGTTCTTCTTCTTCCTTTTGCGAGACACTGTAGAAAGACAAAATTAGAATGCCGGTTATTAGACTATATACAGTTGAAGTCAGAATTATTACCCCCCCTGTTCATTTTTTATCCTAATTTCTGTTAAACGGAAAGAAGATTTAACACATTTCTAAACATAATAGTTTTAATAACTCATTTTTAATAACTGATTTATTTCATCTTTGCCATGATGACAGTAAATAATGTTTTACTAGATATTTTCAAGACACTTCTATACAGCTTAAAGTGACATTTAAAGGCTTAACTAGGTTAATTAAGTTGACTATGCAGGATAGGGTAATTAGGCTTATGTTAAATTAAGTTATTGTACAATGATGGTTTGTTCTGTAGACTATCTGGGAAAAAAATAGCTTAAAGCGGCTAATAATTTTGACCCTATAAAGTTTTTTTTAAATAATTAAAAACAGTTTTGAATCTAGGCAAAATAAAACAAATAAGACTTTCTCCAGAAAAAAAAATATTATCAGACATAGTGTAAATTTCCTTGCTCTGTTAAACATCATTTTGGAAATAATTAAGAAAGAAAAAAAAAATCAAGGGGGGGCTAATAAGACTTTAACTGTATATTCACACATTTTAAATTAAACTGTCAGCATTATAATGGATAAATTAAAGACAAAATCTTATTTAAATCAAGTCATTTAAAGTTGATATGCTCATTGAAAATTGTGTTTTTTATTCTGGTGAACACAAAAGAAGATAATGTTAAGAATGTTGGACACCTGTAACCATTAGACTTCCATAGTTAAAAAACAAATGCTATGGAAGTTATTTTGTGTTCAACAGTAAAAAAAAAAAACCTACAAACTGGAATAGAACAAGTTTAGGGTGCACAAATGATACAACTTTCATTTTTGGGTCAACGTATCCATCAGGACCCTTGCTGTCTATGGAGGATGAGGGAGCTCTTGGATTTGACCTAAAATATCTTTATTTGCCTTCTCAGAAGTTTGGAACATGAGAGTGAGTAACATTAATGCTTAAAAAAAAAAAAAACAACTCTTTCAAATTAAGACAATTCATCACCTTGGAATGATAAGGTTCTATCTATGTTCTGAATGATTTTGAGATATTGAGCTTCAAAGTGATTGCATTCCATGTAGCAAACAATATGTGTGTAATATTTGTCTTAAAATGTAAACAACTTAAAAAATCTTCCCATACTGTAAATAAAACATATACATCCCAAAATGTCAATAAGTTACATTATTTTATATATGATTATATATATATATATATATATATATATATATATATATATATATATATATATATATATATATATATATATATATATATATATATATATTTTTTTTTTTTTTATGTATATATAATTACAATATATAACTTATATAAAACTCAGTTTTGACAAAAAAGTCATAATTCTAAGGAGACGAATTGGAAAAAAATAGATACTTAAGATAACTGAATGCAACAATGCTAAGAATCTGAACCCTGAATGTGATTTTTATTGTTAATGTCCACCTACCTGCCTCCTGTCTCAAAAGGCCACGGGCCTCCAAGATACGACAGGCCTCCAGGCAGCACTGAACTGCCGCTTCTTTCTTTTTCCCTGTGTGAGTGACCTCAGCTACCAGTTGCCTGCCCACAGCATCATCCACAGGTAACCTAAAAAGAGAGAAATAAAACACAGTATTTTCCCTTTAATATACAGTGATGACAATAACCAAAAAGATTATATGTCATTGTGTGGGAATATACATTTGGTTTCCGATTTGATTTGTGATTTCTGCAACTTAATTTCTGGTGATGTAAATGTGCATGTTGAGTGGTTATTTTAAATGTTTTTACCATAACTTATGGGTCAGTAAACATTGATCATAGATTAAAAACGGGCATTACTATAGTTTCTTGACTTTTAAATTCTTTCTTTTAAAAAAGTTTCTGTCTGGCACCCCAGCACATAAAACCAGGAAACGTTCCAACTAGGGCTGTGCCAATAGCGGAAATCATGATAATCAATGATTAGCTGTGGACATTTTTACTCGATATTGATCTAAGGCCGATTCTACACAATATTTTCAATTTAATATACAGTGATGGTGACGCAGTGGCGCAGTAGGTAGTCCTGTCGCCTCACAGCAAGGTCACTGGTTCGAGCCTCGGCTGGGCATTTCTGAGTGGAGTTTGCATGTTCTCCCTGCGTTCGCGTGGGTTTCCTCCGGGTGCTCCGGTTTCCCCCACAGTACAAAGACATGCAGTACAGGTGAATTGGGTAGGCTGAATTGTCCGAAGTGTATAAGTGTGTGTGAATGTGTGTGTATAAATGTTTCACAGAGATGGGTTGAGGCTGGATGGGCATCCGCTGCGTAAAAACGTGCTGGATAATTTGGCGGTTCATTCCGCTGTGGTGACCCCGGATTAATAAAGGGACTAAGCCAAAAAAAATGAATGAATGAATGAATGAATGAATATACATTAGAGTTAATACTCAAATTATTGTAGAGTATTGTTTCCTCAGGAATTGTATTTATCTAATTAGATTTTAAAAATGTGTAGTTTCATTTAACAAAATTTTTAGTTCTTTATCAGTATTTTTTACTGCATTATTATATCTTCTGAACAGTCACTACTTAATATGCTTATTTTTTTCTTCTCTACGGTGATTGGCTGAGTAGAATAATCAGTCTTGTGACTCCAATCAAATAACACATAAAATAAAAAGGCATCAGACAGACGTCCCTCAAGACAGATGCTTCATGAATGCTGTAAAGATGTACAGTGTGGAATCACAAACAGTGTCCAAGATGCAAAATTGTTAAATGCAACAACCAAGAGACTGTTTAGACTAATTATCACTAATGAGGAGATGAAGTATGATGTACTGCAAAATGACAGACTACAGAATGTTACGTTTTCAAATGTATGCACGTATTAACCTAAGTGAGACAATTAACATATTCTCACTGTAAGATTTTTGCCTCTTAGGTTACACAGATTTCACTTTGCCTACATTAAAGTATTGAGTTCTCACATTAAATTAATCTCACATTTTAAATGTAAAGTGCAAAAAAAAACCTATTTTTGTTTTGCTGCGATTTATATATATTGCGGTATGAATATAACTTCACCAGATGAATTGAATAACTCTATTTGGAAAGATTAAATCTATCATTTAGATAGATTGGGAAGATTCTATGCAAAGTGTTTCATAAATGATAATAAATTATAAGCATATATAAATACAACAAAATAAAGATAAGTGAAATAAACAGTGCTTTATTGTTTTCTAGAGTGTCTAACAGTATTCAGGTAAAGAAATAGAACAACCAAACATAAAATAACATTGTCATCATTGCAGAAAATCATTCATTTATAAATTTTCTTTCAGCTTAGTCCCTTTATTTATCAGGTGTTGCAACAGCGGAATAGATCGCCAACTTATCCAGCATATGTTTTACACAGCAGATGCCCTGCCAGCTGCAACCCAGTACTGTGAAACCCATACACACTTATTTACACACATACACTATGGATAATTAAGTTTATTTAATTCACATAAAGTAAGCGCATGTCTTTGGACTGTGGGGGAAACCGGAGCACCCGGAGGAAACCCACGCCAACATGGGGAGAACATGCAAACTTCAAACAGAGATGACAACTGACCCAGTTGGGACTCGAACCAGCGACCTTCTTGCTGAGAGGCAACAGTGCTAATCATGAAAGATTTAGAAATAATAATATCTTGATCTTTTGATGTTTAACCAATAATCCAATCCTATTAATCTAAGACTTGCAGATACACACGTTGTGATATCAATGTTTAAACAATATATAGTGTGCAGCCCCACACTATAATGCTCACTACTTTTTAAAAAGGTTACTTTTTACTCATACTTTGAGTAGTATTCAGAACAGTAATGGTATTTTTACTAGAGTATGATGTTTTAGTACAATGGTTCTCAAAGTGGGGGTCGGGACCCCCCGAGGGGTCGCGGGACAATGAAGGGGGGGTCGCCTGGTGATTTCCAAAAATCTATTTATTTTTATTAAACCATAAGAATTACCATATTTTATCCATAACCTACTGAAGAGAAAAAATAGTCGTTTATACCATATAGTTACTATAGTAGCTTATAGTTACTACTTCTATTAGATTGCAACCCCTGGGGTAATTACATTATATGAAAGACACAGCAATAGTGTCAGATGCAGCAGATTTCATAACACCTGGTAAAACTTTGTTGCCCATTTACAGCTCTCATACATTAAAAAATTAAAAGAAGAATAGACTTGGGTCCATTGGTGTGTGTGCTACATTGCATGCAAGGTTTCAGTATTTATAACCACCTCAGAAGATATTGGGGGTCGCAACTCACTGGCATTGTCATTTTGGGGGTCGCGGCCTGAAAAGTTTGGGAACCCCTGTTTTAGTACACTTTCCACCATTGTAATGAATATCAGAAATATTCTTATTTACAATAATCTTATTAATTGTATAGTCACCTCAGATGAACAAGTCTGCCTATTTTAATGGTGATTTCTGCCACAAAACAAGGGGACAATTTTGGTAGATTACATTAAATGGCCATTAAACTAAAAAGAAAGTGTTTGTTAGTCTGTCAACAGAGAAGAAAAGCATACTTAATTCTGCAGAGCCAGGTGCCATGGGCTTTGTCTTCATATTCAAACTCCAATTCTTCTCCTGAAACAAAAATTAATTTGATTTCATTTACAGTTGAAGTCATAATTATAAGCCCTCCTGAATTATTAGCCCCCCTGTATATTTTTTCCCCATTTTCTGTTTACAAGAAAGAAAATATTTGTAACATTTCTAAAAATAATAGATTCAAATTTTGTCAAGATGACAGTATATAATATTTTACAAGATATTTTCATGATACTAGTATTCAGCTTAAACTGCAATTTAAAGGCATTTTAACTAGGTTAACTAGGCGAGTTAGGGTACTTAGGCAAATCATTGTATCATGATTGTTTGTTCTATAGACAATAGTGTAGGGGGGCTAATAATATGCTTAAGGGGGCTAATAATATTGTCCTTAAAAGCAGTTTTCAATTTTTTTAAACCATTTTATTCTACTCAAAATTAAACAAATAAGACTTTCTCCTGAAGAAAAATTGATATTGAAAACACTGAAAAATTCCTTGCTCTGTTAATCATCATTTGGGAATTTTTAAAAAGAAAAAAAAAAGCACAGAAGGGCTAATAATTCTGACTTCAACTGTATAAACTTCAAAGATGAACAATATGTGGGTGAGAAACAGTTCATATTTTACCTTCTCTGTCATAAAAACCTTGCAAGGCCTTTTTAGGATCTTTTAAATAAGCTGCTTCTTGATCCTCCTGAAATTCGGTGGCAAACGGATTCTCCTCATTATCATCCTCTTCTGGAGCTGCCTCTTCAGCTATTTAATAAAAGCACACAGACAAGTGTCACATGTCTAGGAATAGCTAGTTATAATGGACTGCAGGTCATCAGGTTGTCTTTGTTACCCATTCCCCAAGAGCAGCCAGCATCTTCTGAGGTGTTTTTTGAAGCACTGGTTTCACTCTCCTCTTTCTCTTCCTCCTCATCTGAGCCATCCCCCATCATTCTCCTTTCCAGCTCTTCCCTCTGTTTTCTAGCACGCTCTCTGAGCTCTGTCACTGTCATTTCCGACTCGGCTTCTTCATCAAATTCTGGACCCTAATGAAATGAGATAAAAACATTTATGAAATAAATAAATAAATAAATAAAACAATAAATACAACAACACAAAAACATATGCAGGGCTCAACAATAAGGGATGTAGCTGACTGATTCCAGCCCAAAAAGTATCCAAAACCCGCCGAAATGCTAAAATACCCACCCAGTCTCCTGTATTCACGAAAATCACATCAGTGACAGATTTTAAGCAGAAAATGAAAGATTATAAGCATATGTCTCAAACACAATAATTCAAAATCAGAATTATCATCAGCATAAATGACCAGGATAAATCTAAAGTCTGTTCAAGTCCACCATTCTAAGTCTATACAAAATTTACCATTTTTAACCAACAGTACAGCTACACAAAGCATTTTGCTGTTTTACCACATGTTTGAGAATAACAATAATAATAGCCCACTCATATTAACCTTTAATTTACATCTACAGAATCGCGAGAGAATCGTGATCTTTATTTTAGGCAAAAAAAATTATAAATTGCGATTCTCATTTTAGCCAGAATTGTGCAGCTCTAATTCTAGCCAATGTTTTTTTTTTAATACAGCAAGAAAGTCGCTGGTTTGAGCCTCGGTTGGGATTTCTGTGTGGAGTTTGCATGTTCTCCCTGTGTTGGCGTGGGTTTCCTCCGAGTGCATGTGGTGCAGGTGAATTGGGTTGGCTAAAATCGTCCATAGTGTATGAGTGTGAATGAGTGTGTATGAATGTTTCCCAAAAATGGGTTGCAGCTGGAAGGGGATCCGCTGCATAAAAACATGTGCTGAATAAGTTGGCGGTTCATTCCACTGTGGTGATCCCGGATTAATAAAGGGACTAAGCCGAAAATAAAATGAATGAATGAATGATTGATTTAATAGATAGATTTGCACAAAACTTGACAAGTGAAATGAGGCTGTGTATGAGAAAGTCTTACCTCTCTGATTTATATTTGGTGAAGATGTCTGTAGGTGTCAAAAGTGCACATCTTTGCATATAAATACCAGTAAAAATTTTGGCAGGCCAAGTAAAAATCTGAACCACTGGCCTGATCGGGGCAGTAGAAAAAATCCTTAGCGTTGAACCCTGATATGACATTATAAGCTTAACAGATGAAAAGTTAAAATGCAAATATAAATGTTAAAACAACAAATGACAATTCTGAATCTCATCAACTAGCATATTGTCATTTTACATATGTTACTGTTACAACTATAAATAATCAAAACATCAAGCTAAAAAGAATGGCAAGTAATTTAATAACCAATTTATTTGGTCACTTTATTTTAAGGCACAATTATCAGTATTAACAAAACAAACTATTAACTATGAAATATTAGTTCAATAAACTCCTAATTTGCTGTGCCTTTTTTTTTTTATCAGAGGTCGCCACAGCGGGATGAACCACCAACTTAAGCAGCATATGTTTTACACAATGGATGCCCTTCCAGCTGCAACCCAGTACTGGGAAACATTCATACACACTCATTCACACAAACACACTATGACCAATTTAGCTTAACTTATACCACGTCTTTGAATTATAGGGGATCCAGAACACCAGGAGCAAACCCACGAGAACTTGGGGAGTACATGTAAACTTCACACAGAATTGCCAACTGACCCAGCTGGGTCTCGAACCACTAGTTAATAGTGAGAATTGGTACTTAAAATAAAGTGTTACTATTTATTATTAGTAAAGTTTATTTATAAACTAATTTCTAAAGGATCATGTGCTTACGATCTTACGATTGCTTGCAGCCCTGCATTATTCAATTTATGAATCATCAATCAGACGATTCCTAAGCCACCATAAATACCCTAAGTTCCATATGACAGCCATCTTCATTTTGAAGAATCCCCCCTTCCACCCCTACTCCTCCTCCTTTCCTAGATGGGTGGCACGGTGGCCCAGTGGTTAGCATTGTTGCCTCACAGCAAGAACGCCACTGGTTCTCATCCTTACCAAGCCAGCCGATGTTTCTGTGCGGAGTTAACACGTTCACCCCGTGCTCATGTGCGTTTCCCCTGGGTTCCACGGTTTCCTCCCACCGTCCAAAAACATGCAACCTAAGTTAATTGACTAATTCAAATCGGCATCATAGACATGCTTTTAGTTAATAGTTATCTCTTAAGAGCAATCTCTATCTTTTCATTGGTTACTACAGCAGGGGAGTTCTCAAGATCTACCTGAGCTCAAACTCCCCTCTCGCCTTGAAAACGGAAGGGAGCCCCAGGCTTGAGGATCTCATGAGCTCAGGGCTCTCTCCCGGGACAGCATGCAAAACAAGCTTAATAATCAATCATCAGCTAAGTGTGAACTCTTGAATTACTTTTTATTGTAAATTATATCAACTATACAAGTTTAACTTTTATGTCATGTTCGTTAATAACAAATTTGCAACCCTGGACCCCAAAAGCATGTTTCATGGTTACATTTTTGACTATAATCGGCATATATTGTATGGGTTAAAGTTAAATTCCTCTGTTACACCGAAAATCATTCGAGTATGAAGATATTTTTTGACAAAATTCTGACAGTAAATATATCAAAACTCAATTATTGATTAGTGCATCAACCACAACTACTCTGTGTTAGCGGGACAGTGTCTAAGATCCTATATATGATCCTAAACTGACATAATACTGAACGCTGTCATGGTAATAATTGTAGCTTTGCAACATATTTCAGAAATTGTGCTGCTGTTAAAGGTATAGTTCAACCACAACTGAAAATTCTGTCATTCTTTATTCTCCCTTCACTTGTTCTAAACCTTTAGGACTTTCTTTCTTTTGTTGAAGATAAATATATATATATATATATATATATATATATTGAACAAACCTGTAACCATTGACTTCCACAGTATTTGTTTTCCTACTATCAAAGTCAATAGTTACAGGTTTTCAGCTTTCTTCAAAATATCTTATGTTCAACAGAAGAAAGAAACTTCAAAGTTGTGACTTGAGGGTGAGTAAACAGTGAGTGAACTTTTAGTTTTTGACGAACTATAACACTATTATACCCACATACCTGCAAGATAAAGAGTCGTGTGCTCCCCCCAAACTTTAGAACATGCCCCACTCGGAGTCTTATGTATGTTTTAGGTGGTATTTTGTTCTTGTTGATAAAGGTTCCATGGGTGCTGCCTAAATCATAAGCGTAGAAGCCCCTCTCCTCTCCCACGACGCCTTCCTGCCCGGCTCTGCCCCGGTACTGGACCACGGCGTGATAGCGAGAGATGGACGGGTGCTCCAGAGACACATCACACACAGGCAACCGACCCACCACAAAATAACTCCTGTGGGTCAGCGGGACGGTGTCTAGGATAGCTCCATTTTTCAGCAGTTCAAACGAGTAGTTGATGTCAGGGACAGCTCCCCATGGGGGCTCGGTGTACGGGAGCGGAGGGAATTTACCAGCCGGAGGGATCTTGGGTCTGATGTCTTTTGATTTCGGCTGTACTCTCGGTTCCTTTAATCTCTCGGATGGCGGATGATCCGATGGGTCTATTTTTGTGTCTTTAGCCTTTGCAGTTGACAGCAGGTGTTTAGTATCATGATCTGCGTCTGTATTTTCTGATACGCTGCTGCTCACTTCTTCTGTAGGCTTCTTACTGGGTCCTAATGATTTCTTCACCGCGAGAGAAGGGGTCAGTACGGGTTTCTTAAACGGATCGTCAGCGGTTTCGTTTGTGCTGGTGATGTCTTGTTTAGAATCGCAGATTTTTCCATTTTCTGGGTCCTGGCTTTTCTCCGTTTTCATCGTTTCAGTGGGAATGTTTTCTGTCAGTTCGCTGCCATCAAACTCCATCGTGCGTTCGGCGAACACTGTTCGCTCAACGCGTTCTGGTGTGTTTGGTGTTACACCTTAATAATTCCCTTCCTGCAGGGACAATCTGAGACTATAGGCTCATAGATATATATACATGACATAGGGTTATCTATTTTAGAGTATAACAAGAAATGCCACTGCATATTTTATTTTTGACGCCTAATATGTCTATTCTACATAAATGTAGATTTAAGATTTTTAACATATTATCTGCTGGCTACAACAACTAGGAACGATTTACTCTTTTTCAAGGATTCGGAAACATTTTAGTGTTGTACCTCACGAACGTCTGGCGTTTACATGTCGTTTTGAAACTGAAATAAATGATACGCATTGGATTGTTTTACTAATCTTGGCCTTTATGATCGTCTGTTTATGAAAGGTAATCCATACGATTCTTATATGAAACCCTGGGTAGTAACGCTGTGCAGTATTAAAGTTTACTTTTAAGTCTTGAATAAGTTACATTTAGTCTCGATATATAAAGCAAAATGTTTTATGTGTATTTGGTAGTTTATGGTTATGTATCACCTGGCAGTATAGTACTTTTCAGAACTGAATTTTATACCCACGTTTTATACTGAAAGTAAAAGATATTGTATTTAGGATAAAGAAAATGCATATGTTTAGGGATTTAACGGTTATTATTATACTCTCATTAGGAAATATATTTTGTTTTTTAGTCAAATTAAAGCACTGCAGCAACAAACACTGTAACGTTATATATTTTCTCTGATTGAGGTGAAGTTCATGCTCCCTATATTGTTTACCATGGTAACGTTACTTTGAATATTCGGTCTGAAATCACATGTAAGTATGAATTGAAAATAAAATTAGCTCTATTTATTTGACTGTTAACAGTGTTGTGCTTTAATAGTGATTTGTTGCTAATTTGATTCTACTATTTAGCCTACTATTTGCAAATAATACTTTTATGAAATTATATTAATGAGAAACTCCAAATGTGTGAACATAAAACCAACTTTACCTCAATTTTTATATAGAGGTAAAGTTGGTTTTATATTCTGTTATATGAAGTTATAATATTTTATAACTTCATATAACAGATAATAATAATAAAATATTATATATATAATATAATATTCAAAAATTCTCCTTAATAATGTCAAAAACATGTCATATGAGCAGCAAATGACTTTCAAAGTACAACATTGTTCACAGTGAATTAGATGGTGTTAATGTTGTTTAGAAATCATACTTGCATGCTAATTTCGACTGACTATTCAAGGTAACATGATACATAATATAGAGACTCCTAAATGAATGAATGTGCGAATTTAAAACCAACTTTACCTCTATGGTTTAAGCTGGTTGATTAGCCTAGTTTAAGCTGGTCATCTCCCAGCCTGACCAACCTAAGACCAGTCTGGAAATGGCTGGCAACCAGCCTGGGAATGGCCCAAACCCCTCTAAAACCAGGCTGGTTGGCTGGGTTTAGCTGGTAGATTAGCCTAGTTTTAAAGGGGTTTTGGCCATTTCTAGGCTGGTTTCCAGCCAGTTGGGGTGGTTTAAGCTGTTTGTTTTAAAGCTGGTTTTAATATTGAAAGAAACTGACAAAATGTCTTCAAAAAATGTTATTTTAAAGTATTTTTTGCAATAAACTAAATATCTACAAATTCTGATTCCTAAAATAAATTTTAAGCTGTTCCCAAAAAATATGTCTGTGCAACAACAGAATGGTTTTGTGATCCAGGATCACATATAACACATAAGAAGTGGAGACTGTTTACAGTATCAAAATGCAAATATATATACAATTAAAAAAGTTACATTTTGTCATTTGAGAAAAACACTCACCGGCCACTTTATTAGGTATACCTTACGAGTAATGGGTTGGACCCCCTTTTGCCTTCAGAACTGCCTTAATTCTTTGTGGCATAGATTCAACAAGGTACTGGAAATATTCCTTAGAGATTTTGGTCCATTTTGACATAATAGCTTTAAACGGTTGCTGCAGATTTGTCGTCTGCACATGTATGATGTGAATCTCCTGTTCCACCACATACCAGAGGTGCTCTATTGGATTAAGGTCTGGTGACTTTGGAGGCCATTTCAGTACAGTGAACTCATTGTCATTTTCAAAATCCAGTCTGAGATGGTTCACGCTTTATGACATGACACATTATCCTACTGGAAGAAGCCATCAGAAGATGGGTACGCTGCGATCATAAAGGGGATGGATATGGTCAGCAACAATACTTAGTTTTTATTTGATTTACTGTTGCCTTTCTATCAGCTTGAACCAGTCTGGCCATTCTCCTCTGACCTCTGGCATCAACAAGGCATTTGCGCCCACAGACCTGCCGCTCACTGGATATTTTCTCTTTTTCAGACCATTCTCTAAACCCTAGAGATGGTGTGCATGAAAATCCCAGTAGATCAGCAGTTTCTGAAATACTCAGACCAGCCTATCTGGCACCAACAACCATGCCATGTTCAAAGTCACTTAATTTCCCATTCTGATGCTCGTATCGAACTGCAGCACATCATCTTGACCATGTCTACATGCCTAAGTGCATTGAGTTGCTGCTATGTGATTGGCTGATTATAAATCTGCGTTAACAAGTAGTTGGACAGTTCTACCTGATAAAATGGCCAGCGAGTGTATATCCATAAACAGTGCATTGGTAATGAGAGATATGATGGATGTTGTTTTCAGACTCCTCAAGATTTACAATTTTGTCAACACAAGCAGCGACAGCATTGTGTGAAGATGATGCGTTATTGGGGTGAGCTCCCAGTGGCTTCAGCTTCATCAGGCCGCAGTTCTTTTGACCTTCTCCAGCGTGAGTTCCGGCAGGTGGAGATGCAGGACCCTCCTTTACATCAGCCTTCTGCACAGCGTCCTCGTCCAACCACCATGCTGGATATCCCATCTGAGCCCTGCAGCCTAACAATCCATACGGTGCAGCTGAGCCAGCACGCTCGTCGTCTCCGGGGTCTCATTGCTGCTGCCCAACAAGGCCAGCAACCCCTGCCCACGTTATTAGAGGGCCAGAGTGCCTTTAAACCTGAGGAAGGAGATGCTCTGCCTCCACGACCTCCCACACCCACTGTACCTGATGATCTGCTTCCACTAGACAGTAAAGCGCCTCGACTGCCGTTCCAGCTACGCCACAGTGACCCAGAGAGTGATTTCTACAAGTAAGTTAAAAATAGGGTTGCCAGGTTTTCACAACAAAAATAGCACATTGGCCATCCAAAGTAGTCCAAAATTAGGCCAATTTGTCAATCAAACGAACCCGAATGAACCCCAATCTCTAAACTTAAAATATGACATTCCCATACATAAAAATAGCTATTTTACATTATTAAATACAATATATAGTTTCTTGCGTCTTTAATATTGCATATTGGTAATTGTAAACATATGATTTTTATAAATAAAATCATCCTATCTTCAGATTGACAGCCGATGAGCCAAATCTTCAGTTCGTTAATGCTTTTTTTTTTTTTTTTAGAACTTTTTGAATATATTACACATTACTGTACACATTAAACACATTTTCTTTAAAAATACTTTTATTAGAAAGTATAACAATTCAAAGAAATATACTGTTTTATTATTTAGCAAAATTACCAGGTAGTTCTGGCAACGGACCCTTTTTACAAGACGGTCATCAGCATCTTAAATCCTTGATCGTTTTTAATATTTAAATAAAAAAAAAAACTTATGAATATTTAAATGTTTTTATATATGTATTATATAATCTTTGCTTCAAATCACAAAAAACAAATTACTGCTTGTGCGAGGCGTTTCTAATGAAGCGTCTATTGGACAGGATAGTAAATTTAACATAATTCTCCCCTCTGGCTGCCGTTATCAGTTTCACACAACAATTTTCATTTTTATGAAAGTCTTTATAACATCATCATGGAGTTTTTCTTTCATTATTTGAGCAAATAAGATTGTAAAAAAATATTTGTTGTATTCTCCCATTCACTGCAGTCTAAGTTTACCCAACTATGACAACTTCCGCTACTAAGAAACCCAGAAATGTGAAAAGGGTCTACTGTTACTATGGAAGCAAAAACAGATATGGCTGCTTTGCTGCACACAACCCACCCACACACTTGCACACACACATCCACAAACACCCACACCTCTCATTTGTTTACTTCGTTTAATCATCCTAGTATTTTTCTATCATTGGTAGAATATATGTTTGGATGAGTAAGATATTTAAATGTCACACAGTTTCATACAGCATATGCAATATGACAAACCTTTAACCTGAGAAATAAAATAAAAAAAACAATCTCTGGACTTAATCAAATTTATTCATTCTTTAATTTTTTTTCGGCTTGATCAGATTGATCAGGGATTGCAACAGCAGTATGAACCGCCAACTATTGTTTTACGCAGCAGATGCCCTTTCAGCTGCAACCCAATACTGGGAAACACCCATACACTGTTCCATTCATACCCACTCATACACCACAGCCTATTTAGTTCATCCAATTCACCTATAGCGCATGTCTTTGGACTGTGGGGGAAACCGGAGCACCCAGAGGAAACCCGCGCAAACACAGGGAGAACTTGCAAACTCTAGACAGAAATACCAACTGGCCCAGCTCGAACCAGCAACCTTCTTGCTGTGAGGTGACAGGGCTAACCACTGAGCCACAATATATATATATTTTTTCAATTGTATTAATTCTACGATTATCAAGTACTTGTGAATGAGCCTAAAAATCTAAACTTTTTTGTATATTTACATTTCAACAAATTCACTTTCCAGTGATATATTCAAAACACTGGACAGCCACAAATGTAAACATGCTTATTTGAAACATTTCTATTATTAGTTTTTTTTTTAGATTATTTCAATGTGGTCATATCATTGACCATGAACATTTCCTGCTTGTTATCAAACTATTTCATAACTGTAACAAGAGGCAGTTTAAGCATATCTTAATGTTAAAACAACTAGTATATCAATATTTATCAATTTGTGGCTCTTTTAAGCTATAGAAATGAAAAAATATAAAACAGGAAAAATATTGGGACTGTTGTTTTTATTTGCATCCCTCAAAATTGTCTATATCAGTGTTTCTCAACCACATTCCTAGAGGACTACCAACACTGAATGTTTTAGATGTCTCCTTTGACTTTCCAGGGTTTCTGCAGGGTCTTAAAAAGTTTAAAAATGTCTTAAATCTTAAAATCGAAATTTTAGGCTTTAAAAAGTCTTAAATTTACTGAAATATTGTGCTGTAGGTCTTAAATCTTTTTTAACAGGTCTTAATTTTCCTTTGTTAATGCATTACTGCCCAAAAACTTAACCAACACTAACAGTACATCTCAATAAAACTAAACTAAAAAAGGTTAAAAAATAAAAAAAGGTTAAAAAAGGTCAAAAAATAAAAAAAAGATTTAAAAAGGTATCTTTGAACTTTATTTACCATAATGGTTTTATTATTTCCCTTACAATACCATTTGTTAGAAGTGTTCCATGTATTTACAGCTGAGGACACAGACCTGGACAGATTGTTGTGCATAGATTTAGTCTATTTTAGGTTTAAAAACTTTTTTAAACATTTGTTTATTTTTTTTATTTTAAAGAAAGTTTATGTTGGAAAAACATTGTATACTTTGTTAAGAAGTATCTAAAGTGTATACATTTTTTATTATTCATTTATTATTGCATTATTAAATATATTAAATTATTATACTTTTTTAATAGGGCAAATAAAAATATTTTCCATCTAGGCCATTTAAAAAAATTAGCATTTAGCCCTTTATGAGTCTAAAATTTAGCATTAGCATTTAGCCCTTTATGAGTCTAAAATTTCATTTATAATGGTCTTAAAAAGTCTTAAAAATAAATTTTAAAAATGTCTTAAATTGAAACCTGCAGAAAGCTTCCTTTCACACCCATTGCAGGTCTTTCAGTCTTTGCTAATGATTTGATGATCTAAATCTGATGTGTTTGGTTAATGAGACGGGGAAAACATGCAGTGTTGGTGGTCCTCCAGAAACGTGGCAGAGAAACACTGGTCTATATGACTCTTATTCAATATCCTTTGCTTTCTGTCTTTTACCTGTTTTTCTAACTTCTCTATATTTGACTGTTTTTAGAGGTAAAGGTGAGCCAGTCACTGAGCTTAGCTGGCCATCCTGCCGTCAGCTTCTGTACCAGTCAGTGGCCACAGTGCTCGCTCATATTGGATTCGAGTCAGCCAACGAAAGCGTACTGGAGACTTTAACTGACCTGGTTCATGAACACTATCTGCGGCTCACCAAGTTGCTGCGTGTGGCTGTTGACAGGGAGGCCTGCCAGGGCTCTACTGCCTTCCCTGATGTATTGGAGCAGGTATTCCATGAGTTGGGCATCGGCAGCATCCTGGCACTACAGCGTTTCTGGCAAGTCCGTATCAAAGATTATCACAGCTACATGCTGCAGGTGAGACATGGCTAATATTGTGTCTCATTCACTAAACATGCGTACACAAGGCATTTAATTCACTTGATCATGAACATAACAGTGCTGATTTTGGGCATGAAAATGATCACATAATTTTCTTGACCTAACTAAAGGAGTTTCTCCAGGTTCTATTTCGGGACCTATTTTGTTTTCTATTTATGTAAATTATAAGAGTAAGGGCATTCATTCATTCAAATTTCTAAAGGTCTAAACAATTGTTATATGATCTATAATAAATGGTGATTATTAGGGCTGCACAATACACTACCGAAAAAGAAAAAGTCTTGTCATCAATCCCAGTTGTATGAGCAACATATAATAGCTTGACTTCTCGTTGATCACTTGGAAAAGTGGCAGAAGGTAGACTTTTTTAGATGAATCATCTGTTGAACTGCATCCCAATAATCTCAAATACTGCAGAAGACCTATTGGAACCCACATGGACCCAAGATTTGGTGAAGGAAAAATCATGATTTGGGGTTACATTCAGTATGCGAGAGATCTGCAAAGTTTATGGCAACACCAACAGCATGAGGTATCAAGACATTTGTACTGCCAATTACATTACAAACCACAGGAGAGGGCAAATTCTTCAGCAAGATAGCTCTCCTTCTCAAACTTCAGCCTCCACATTAAAGTTCCTGAAAGCAAAGATCGTCAAGGTGCTTTAGGATTGGCCAGCCCAGTCACCAGAGATGAACATTATTGAGCATGTATGGGGTAAGATGAAGGAGGAGGCATTGAAGATGAATCCAAGGACTCTTGATGAATTCTGGGAGTTCTGCAAGAATGCTTTCTTTGCTTTTGCAGATGACCTTGTTAATAAGTTATTTGAGTCATTGCAAAGATTGTAACTGCATCCCAAATGGCACACTTTACACTCTGCACTCATGCACTTTGTACTTATGCACTTACACACTCAACAGGATAGTACATGTATGTAGTGTCGCCCAAATGGCACACTAATGTTTTTTTACCAAGCGGAAATTCCCTGATGACGTTTAACGGTTGCCAAATCAGTGAAATTATCGACTGAGTTATCAAATAATACATGCCATGAGTATAACCGCATTCACCATCGGGAGGCGCTATAACCACTCTCATAGGAGAATTTTGCTTTCACCATCCAAAATAAAGAAAGTTATTCAACATGTGCGTCCGATAGCTCCGCCTTTTCCGCTACGTAAGCAAACCTGCGGTCGTTGAGTGCGTGAAGTGTCCATCATTCCACACTTCATTTTAGCAGATAAATGAGTGCATCATCCGGGTAATTTAAGTGCACTTATTATTTTTAGAGTTTTCAGTGTGAATGCACTATGTACACTATTTATACTACAAAATGGCATAGAATAGTGCATAAGTATGCGATTTGGGACGCAGCTTACATTATTTCTGTTAAGTGACAAAACTTTTGACCAAGCAAAGTCAGACCTTACTGTCCTAATTAAATTATTAAAAATCAAGGCATGATCATATTTTATTTTGGTAAAATAAGCGTACTCTAGAGGCCTTTGCCTTTCGAATAAGCCAGCTCTGATACCAAATGATCAACTACAAGTCAAGTTATTATTTGTTGTTCCTAAAACTTGGATATTCAACAAGACTTTTGTCAGTTAGTGTATATCGTTTCAGCATCATCATCGCAATGTGATCATTCACAATAGTCACATATCAAGAATATGCAATGTTGAGTCTGGATTGTAATTTATAATTTGCATGTGTTTTATAGGCTTGTTGACTGTATTATGATTTTAAAAAGCATTGAGGAGTAAGAAATAGTACTATTTGCAACTTTAATAACAATTAGATCCGTTTAATCATTTGTCATTTTATTATTCAATTATTGCACCTAAATACTGTTAGACTCAGAAAATGATCATAACTCTGTTTATTACGTTTGTATCTGTTCCTTTATTGTATTTATTCTCTGCTTGTAGATTGTTTGTTTGATTTTATGCAGATACACTTCCCTACATAATTATGCCGATCAGTCTAAAATTATAAACTCCTTCCATATAGACATCAAGTCAACAGGTGGAATTGTATTCATATTGCAAAACATAATCGCAGGATAACAAAATATCGCAATGTTAGATTTTTCCAATATCGTGCAGCCCTAGTGGTTATTAAGTCGCTTTAAGTTGCCTAGTGAACTCATCATTGTTTTATGCAACCTTTATTCTGGCTTCCACCTCTGACAGCAAATCCTCATGTTCATTATTGTTAAAGTTTTTCCATTTTCGTCTTTGGTTTTGATGTCATAATTCTCTTTCTCTGGATGAGGGCCACTTTGCGAAAAGTCCCTATATAGAGCAAGATTGGGCAAGTATTATGCAAATTAATAACCTAATTTATGCAGGCACATTTTCTCCAAATTCCCTAAGAGAAGAACAAGTTTAAGGGTTGCTGCTTGATGAGATACAGCTATAGCTGAAAGTTCATTAAAAATTATTAATCATGAAAAAGATTAATATTACTCAGGCACGTGCACACATAGGGCTCAACCTGTGCACTGCACATGCCCTTTTTAGTCTTGGATAGAAAGTGCCCTTCCAAAATGATCAAAAGTGCCCCCGCGTCCCGACCTTCAGCCCCAGCGACAACACAGCTGATCAGAACGCGCGTGACAACACCGCGACCCCGCCCCCCCCGCCCCTTTTTATTTTATTCCTGCACATGCCCTTTGGACAGTCTCTGCACGGGCCTGATATTACTTAATATTTGTTTTATCATATTTATTATTTAATAATATTATTTATTAAATAAAAAGTTGTATTTTATTTACGACTACCCCACCCCAAACCATAAGCCTACACCTCACATTAATGTCAAAGCAGAAATTTTTAAATAATTATTTATATTATTTATCAAATTACCCCATAAATTGTATTTTACTAATGTCTACCCTGACTTCAACCCTAAACCTACCCCTCACTGTGATTTAAAAACAGTAATATTGTTGGACAGTAATTGTATTGTTGAAATAATATAAATAGTTCTCAATTATAGTGGCACATTGCAGTAGGTAGCGCTGTCACCTCAATGAAAGAAGGTTGCTGGTTTGAGCACATGCTGGGTTAAGTTAAAGAACAAGCTCTTGTGTGCGTACGTTTTGAATTAATTTGAAAGTTTTCATGAGTAGTTTAAATGTGTATATAAATACAAATAAGCGTATGCCGTTCTTAGTGAATAAGACCCATTGTTTTGACCTTTTCAACAATTTACTGTATGTTTCGCATTTATCAAAAAAACAAAAACAAAAAAAGCAAACTGACATGTCATGCCATTCACTCTAGGTTAGCAAGGAGCTCTCGGAAGAGTATGATATACTTGTGAACCCAGAAAAGGCTCTGGAGGATTCCAAACCCTTGAAGGTTAAAGAGGAGCCAGTAAGTGACATCGCGTTTCCTTTGAGCGAGGAGCCAGAAGCAGATCTGGCCTCAGGAGACCAGGCCTTGCCTATTGGTGTGTTGGGCACGTCCAGTGAAAGACTGGAGGAAGGACATTCTCCTCATGCATCAGGTATGCCTTATTCAGTTCTCATGAGACTTATTAATGTTCTGCCAAGGCTAACTTAAAAAAATTCAAAAGAAATTAACATCATACCGTTGATTCCTACATCACTTGTTCCTTAAATTAGCGGTTGCCAAACTTTTTAGCCCACAACCTCCAAAATAACAAGGTCATGGGCTCATGACTCCCCCCATCACACTGTCTTTGGAAATGGTTATAAATACACTCACTGGCCACTTTATTAGGTGCACCTTACTTATACTGGGTTGAATCCTCTTTTGCCTTCAGAACTGCCTTAATCCTTCATGGAATAGATTCTTCAAGGCACTGGAAATGTTCCTCTGAGATTTTGTTCCATATTGATATGATAGTATCAAGCAGTTGCTGCAGATTTGTCGGCTGCACAGCCATGATGTGAATCTCCCGTTTTACCACATCCCAAAGGTGCTCTATTGCAGCTGTTCCCAAGGGGGCCTCAGCGAGCTCTGTGGAGGGTCACGTCGTATTTTGAAATTTTCATGTTCCCTTAATTCATTACATCTTCTGGCTGACCAAAGCATGGAAAAATTTGTAATTCGTTTTCCACAAAAAATGTAAAAAGACAGCAGCTAATAGGGTTACAGTTTATTTTTATGGTCCAATTGTTTAATTTAAGTGACATTGCTTCTACATGCCAGGTATTTCTCATTAGATTATAATAAGTAGATTGGTTAAGGTTAGTGTAAGTTCACATGTACTTGCAAAGTTTCTTATCGACCTTTTTCTTGGAGGGCACCATAGCGACCAGCATCTTCCGGTAGAATGTTTAAAACTTCCATTTACAGCATTTACAAAAGATAATTTTGGAGTGTTTTGTATCACAACTTTGAAAGGCGTGTTAAAGCTGTTATAATCTGTCAGATTTGGTTCAAGCATGAGAGAAAAACGTTCTTCTAGTTCACGAATCTGCCGCCAGAAATACGGTGTGTGTGTGTGTGTGTTCCCGTCAGCTGTTAGTTCAGCAGCTCTTCAATGCACGTGCATGCACACACAGACACACACACACACACACACACAATAATTCACTGCATTCTAGAGATTACTGGCATGAAACTTAACAGGTATGCAAGTCATGCAATTTACAAAAATGACCATTTAAAGTCTGTTACTGATATTCTGCTGGCTGATTTGCATGTTGATTCTAATCAGAAGCCATTTATGTTCATGTTAGTGGGACAGTACAGTTTATGTACAGGCTATGTGTGTGTGTCAAACATTTTGGTGAATTACATTTGTTTGGGCTGATTATATATTTGAAAGAAAGAGAAAATGTTGACTTTAGGGATGACAAGGCTTCATTTGAATGGCACAAGATGCTGTCTGACGAGGAGAAAATGCCTTACAGCAGTTGTTTTCCATTCTATAAGATCACATTTTTTTAAACAGTCAGTCCAGGAGGTGGTGCTGATCGACACCAGTATTAGTTCAAAGATGTTAAAAGCAAATAAAATAGATTAAAACTGTCAGAATCAAAGCTGTCCAAACGTGACTCTTTATACGCAACAGCTGCTGACCGGAAGTTCTTAGTATTCTCCTAGCGCATACACACAAAGCATGATGGGTAATTTTGCGTTCTGAGAAAAAGATCTATAGTCAGGTAAATGTCTGTTGAAGGAACAGTATCAACAGATATTAAGCAGTCTACTAATACTCAAATGGACCATCGAAATAAAACGTATTTAAAATACAAAATAAGTGTTTTCCCTTACCCAGGTAAGGAAGCTCCAAACATTTCGGGTCGCAGCGCTAGCAATACTGGAAACACGAAATGCAGGAAATACCAAGATAGTTACCTGAACTAATGTTTTTTTTTCGAAAGCAAAGAGTCCCTGACCCAGCCACAGGCCATTATCTGCACCACAGTTTTTGCTAACGAATGCATGAGGCCATCCAAATTAATAAGACATTTGCAGACGACTCATCCCCAATACCGCAAAGTGTACCCAATACAAATATATTTTACATTAGGCTATTATTTGTGCATAAACATATCTAGATATTGTAATAAACATACTGTTTGTTTGAAAACAAACATTTTTGTCATACCTACTGCACAATTATATGAGCGATAATATTATCAAATGTAGAGGGGGGGCCTTACAATATTTTTCGGGAGAAAAGGGGGGCTCAGGTAAAAAAAGGTTGGGAACCACTGCTCTATTGGATTGAAATTTGGTGACTGTTTAGGCCATTTGAGTACAGTGAACTCATAGTCATGTTCGATAAACCAATCTGAAATGATTTGTACTTTGACATAATGCATTACACTGCTGAAAGTAGCCATCAGAAGATGGGTACACTGTTTATAAAGAGATGGAAATGGTCAGCAACAATACTCAAGTAGGCTGTGGCGTTAATACCATGCTCATTTGGTACTAATGAGCCCAAAGTGTGCCAAGAAAACATCCCCCACAACATTACACCACCACCATCAGCCTAAACCATTAAAACAAGGAAGGATGGATCCATGCTTTCATGTTGTTGTCTGACAACCATGCATATTTTTATAGTGATTTATTCATTTGTTTATTTCAACATTAAATTTACCTAACGAGACCGACTACACAATGTTTCGAGCGCAGCAAATCCATTTTTGTTTGGAGACCGCCACTCGAAGATCATCTTTCACATGACCTGCATTTATTTTTATTGTATGTCAATATTGAAAAGTTGTCGAAAAAATTTAACATGGTCGCATTAGGATAGGATAGGCTACTTTATTTTTACCCGAATGTTGATTTGGTTTGCAGTTGAGAGTCCTCATTTCATTACAGCGCCACACAAAACTCACATAATGAAAACAACAAATGGACATTCATTCATTCATTTTCTTTTCGGTTTAGTCCCTTTATTAATCTGGGGTCGCCACAGAGGAATTAAGCGCCAACTTCTCCAGCATGTTTTACACAGCGGATGCCCTTCCAGCTGCAACCCATCTCTGGGAAACATCCACACACACTCATATAAAGGTGTGAACCTATACTGGTCTCACGGTTCGGTTCGGTTACGATTATCATGCCTTCGATTCGGTTCAATTCGATATCTCGGTGCATCACTGTGCATTGACGATGCTTTCTATATACAGTTTTATTTTATAGGGGGGAGGCTATAACAAGCTGTCTGTATAAACACACAGACACACAGCACCACACTGTCTCTCATTTAAACACATACACAAACATAGACAGCACCAAACAAACACACACACACACACACACTTAAGCCCTCGCAACAGGGAGAGCTCGCGCTAAGCGGAGCAGAAAAACAAAAAAAAGACGCACTTTTCTGACGGTCCCTTACTGAGAGCTCCTCTCAGCGCAAGCTCTCCCGGCTAAACACATGGCTGTTTCTCAATTCCAAGAACGCAGAGAATGGACTTGCATTCTTGTGGAGACTGGTCTTGCCAGGTGTCCTCGGAAAAACAAACTCAGGAGACTGCGAGGGCAGAGAATGCGTCCTTTGAGAAATGAGATGCTGCGTTCTTCCTGATGGTCACGTGACCTTCACGCGTTTTAAATGGAAATTATTTAAACATTACAGCACTCATACAACGTTTTATTGTTTTTCCCCTCTTCAAAATATATACTTTGCATAAAAACATTATAAATATACTCTGCACAATATAAATAAAACAGATTTTAATACGAACTTCAGCAAACAAACACCCTTAATGTGTTTACTCCTTTATTAAGATATTCATGTTAATGTTTACTTTCACCGTTTCATTTAGAGAAACTCCTGAGGTAAATAAGTCATATCTCTGAACTATAATGATAAATCTAAATAAAATGCTGCGCTTCCCAACTCCAGTCGCAATGACTTCTGGGACTTCCAGAGAGAGTTCGGTGCTCAAGTCTGCATTGGTGCGTCCTCAATATCAAGAACACATCCAGGATGTTTCACGCGTCCTCTGTACTTGCGGTTTTGAGTATTGGAATTGAACTTAGGCAGCTGATGATGACGTTGCACGAGAACACGAGGACGCAAGACTGCTGAAGAACGCATATTGAGAAACAGCCATATTGCGAAGGCTTAAACAGAGCAGTGCTCGTAATGTCGGGCGGAAAAAAAAAGAGACAGCTGTGAAACATAACCAGCTTTGTCTTTTTGTAGGAAACACACTTTAGATCTTTTTAGATCTTTTAGAGGTTTTTGAGTTATTGCCGTCTATAACTGAATGTGTGTCAGGAAAATCGAAAACAAAACCAACTGAACCGTGCTCATTTCTGGCGCCCCCCTGGATGTACAGCACCCTTAGCATATGCCTATGGTGCCTATGCCACGGGCTGGCCCTGAGTTGCCTGATTGTTGTAAATACTCGCGCTCACACTCGCGACAGTGTGCATAGGAGATAAATGACGTCAGTACACAATAAACGGATATGATTATTACTGAACCGATACAGAATTGTCCGCGTCTGCATCGCAGTGCACCGAAGAAACTATTAATTTTGACACCCCTACACTCATACACTACGGGAACGCAGTGAGAACATACAAACTCCACACAGAAACGCCAACTGACCCAGCCGAGGCTTCTTGCCGTGAGGCAACAGCACTACCTACTGCGCCACTGCATCGCCACAAATGGACATAAAGACATAAAAAATAAACAGACAAAACACTTCCTTCAAAAAAAAAAAAAAACCCAATCTATAAAATGTAAATTATAAAAGTCACAGAAACCTCTCTGCTTTAGTCTATGCCATATTCAAATGTCTAATGTCTGCTGGTATAAAACTATTTTTGTATCGTTTAGTACTACAGTTTGATACTAAAAACCTGCGACCAGAAGGAAGGAGCTGGAACTCTCAGGGTAGGGGATGAGCAGTGGCACTTAAAATTTAATTTATAAATCTCTTTAGCTGCCTGGTGTACACAGCCTCCAGATTGGCTAGTGAGACCCCAGTCTAGAGATCTGCGCGTGACTAAATTTTGAATCCCGCTCCCGCCTGCCAGGTTTTAGCGCGAACTTGACCGCTCCCACTGATATTAAGCATTTGTTGTCCCGCTGCCTGCCCTGCCCCATTTTCTACCCGCCACACCCGATCCCGCTAGATCCCGCTGGAAAGAGCAGGGGGGAGAACAAAACCGAAAACCACCCAGGTATACAGAGTCCAGACAGCCTATAACAAGCTGTCTGTATAAACACACACACAAACATAGCACCAAGCACACACACACAGACAAAGCTCTCTCTCTCTCTCAATCACGCGCACTAACACACACACACACACAAGCACCAAGCACACACACAGGCAAAGCTCTCTCTCTCATTCGCGCGCACGCACACTAACTCACACACACACACACACACACACACACACACACACACACACACACATACACATCTCTCATTCGCGTGTGCGCACATACACACAGCAACAAACAAGCTAAACACAGCATCGCGTTATTTCATTTACACACATACATATGCGTGCCGCTCGGGAGTCGGGCGCGATATTGCTAGACAGCCTGCTCCTGTCCCAAGTTAAACCCGTTACCAATCTTATTCGGAAATTTATTTATATATAAATATATTATGCAGACCTCTACCCCAGTCAGCTTACTTGACCACTCAACGGAAAGCTTCCCAAACCATGAAAACAAATGAAAAGATAAAACCTATCTAAAAATAAAGTCAGTCTGATGCTATTGCGGTGTCGTTATTCTAATCTAATCACCCCAGGTTTGCAATTTAATGGAAAAAAAAAAAAAAAAGGTTCATGGCTTTTATTATATAACTTAACTACTATCTTTTGCTAGTTATGGATATCATATGGTCATTTTAATATTTAATAAAATGTATTTGATTTTTGGAAATCACCAAGAGACACCCCTCATTGTTGTGCCATCCTCCCCCCAAACACAATGTTAATGGAATTGTTTATTCATTTATTTTTAGATTTTTCTGTTTTTCAAATATGACCCCAAAGAATAGTTTGAATCTACTGTGAAATATGAAAATTATTTTCTGTTTAGTTTCATTTGTAAAAGACGGTTCATAGTAATTCATTTGAATTATGACCCTGTGGAGGTCCACAGTTTGAAAACCCCTGGTCTGAATTGATTATTTTCACATGTATTCCACAAATATTCAGAAAATAATGAAATGCAACCTGTTTGTTTGGACTCACAGAGCGATTGTTGCTCTGAAATCAAAAAATCCTAACTGTTTGATTAGAGTCATTGCATGCAAAACATCTAATCTGTGGCATCCAGCTGTTTGTTTGCCTTTCCTTCTCTCTACTGCATCCATTTTCTAAAGCAGTTGCTTGTGTGTTCTGACAAACACTCAGGAGTGAGTAACACACCAAAAATAATCAGCAACAGAACTTTAGCGAAACGTTGTCCTTTTATCTGTTTACAAACATTTTATCTGTCTAGTAAACATGTGAATTTTGCGTAACCATTGTTCACTGCAGGCAGTTTGAAGTCTAGCTGTGATTTGATTTGAAATATATATTTAAGGCAACAAATTGTGACTGTAATGGTCTTAGTATCAAAAGAAAAAGTTAAGGCGAAACTTTTCCGAGAGAGTTTACCGTGGGAGGCTCAGTATGCTGTCTTTTTTGGCTAACATCCCAATATACTGATTACTAGCCTACCGAAATTGAATTGACCCCCAGCCTACTGCTTAAATTAAATAACCCATTCAATTTCTAATAACAGAATTGACACTGCTTCAAATCACTATAATTTTCCATGTGAAATTGCTTCGACACAATCTACATTGTAAAAGCGCTATAGAAATAAAGGTGAATTGTATTGATTCTGTTTATATGCAAATAAATAATGCAATGCAAGTAAACAACCATGTTTACATGAGTTTTTGCAAAATCCCTCTCGTTCTCTCTGATATTAAGATTAAGCTGATAAATGATGCATTATTTCTGCTGGTTGAACAATTTCACATGCTTGCTGTTCTACACCTCTTTATTATGTTTCTGGTATTTTGATTTCATTTAATGTTCAGTCATTTGATTCTTTTTTTTTTTTTTTTTGTCAGGCTGTAGATTTAATTTTTACACTGTAATACCCAACAGCCAACTTTATCAAATGAAATGAAATTAACCCAAAATTTACTGAAAGCTAATTCTACTCATTTGAAAAAAGTTTTGAACTCAGTGCTAAAGATAATGAGTTAATTAAATACCTCATTACTTCAACTTAAATGTAGGAATTTCAGTGCACTCATAAGGATGGTTTTTTGAAACTTGGGAAGGCTGAACGTACAAGGAGGCGATGTGAGACTGAACTTTGTGTAGGCTACTTAATATTGAGGAAAAATCTTCAATCAGGTAGGAGAATGTCTGCAGCCCCGCCTCCGTTTCGCCTCTGCCCACACTAACACGGAGAAGAAGTGTTTTAAAATGAAAATGGCCTCTTCGGCATTTTCAAAAAGCGTAGTTTTCGGCGCTCGAAAACTAAAATGTTGTGTAAACGGGGCCTAAAACAGCTTATAGAAGGAGGAGCTGGAGCTCATTGGAGGTGAGCTCCACCCAAATGGCTCTGCAGCAAGCACCAGTGAAAACTGAATGTCATCTGCTGGTGATGTTTTGTATTGTATATCAATGTTATTATAGTTAAAAAAAATAAAAAAAATTTTTTTTAAATAAATGTAAAATTAAAATAAAAATTAGTTTTTAAAAAAAACTAGAACTGAAACTGTTTTGTGCACATACAAAACTAACTGAAGCTAACAAAAATTATAGCAAAAATCTTCGTTTTCATCTTTGTTAATGTATTTAATACATAATTTTACTTGAAGCCTTTTAGAAGTGAATCTATTTACTTCGTGCTGCAGGTGTTTGGCACTCAGAGTCAGTAGTCTACATAATTTTGGTTTGTTGAGTCCTAACATCCGTGTTAAATATTTAAACTCTTCATCTCTACTGTGTATCTAACCTCAGAAGCAGGTTTGCACACATGTTGTACTTAAGGCCGCTATCTTGTTGGCTGTTGTATTTGAATTTGAGGATGGTTAGATGGTACTGGGAGATGATAGTGTTCATGTGTCCTCTGAATACGTGTTTTAAAAAATGAATAGCTTTTTATTATAGTTTTTATTATACAATATTCAGTTGATTTTTGAATCTTGCACCTAACAAAAATCCTTATTTTAAAAATAAAATTAAAAACTAATACTAAAACTAATAAAAACTAAACTAAAACTAAACCATTTTAAAATATCGAAACTAATAAAAACTAGTAAATCTGCTAAAACTAATTAAAACTAACTTAATTTGAAAGCAAAAAGTCAAAACAAATAGAAACTAAACTAATGAAAAAAATCCAAAACTATTATAACCTTGCTGTATACCCAAACAGAAATTTACTGAAAAGCTTCTGAGATGTAAATTTTAAATTTGGAATATAATTTATCATAATATTATAATATATTTTGTCAAATTCAAAGTAACAGTAACAGTTTTTAATACAAATTTTAAATAATATGATTTATATATTTTTATTATTTTTTAAACACGTTTTATATTTTTAAACGCCTTTAAAAAAAACTTTTTTTCACTTCAGCTACAATCTGACAAGTGTCTTCTTTAAAGCAAAATCTTCTATCTGTCTATGCACTAAAGCATTAAAAAATTAGAACAATTTACTGTAAGTTGAACTTTTCACATCTATGCTCTTTTAAGGGCTTAATTAAAATAGTCATTTATTTGTTAAGCACCAAGCATATAACAGCAGTGAAAATTGAATAATGAATGAATTCAACCACCTAATCCATCAGTTGTTTTATTACATATTTGGGGTAAAGGGAAAATGGTTAGAATTAGGCAAGAATACTTTTGTTTTGGTAATGATTTAGATCAGGAGTGTCAAACTTAATTCCTGGTGGGCTGCTGCATTGCAGAGTTTAGTTCGAGCCCTGCTTCAACACACCTATCTATGGGTATCAATCAAGCTTAAAGCACTAAATTAGTTCAGGTCTGTTTATTTAGGTTTCGGAACTAAACTGTGCAGAGCTGCGGCCCTCCAAGAACTACGTTTGACACCTATGTTCTAGATTAACACAGCCATTTGGTTTTCTCTTCAACAGGAGCAGCAGGGAACAGCCCTCCCTTGTGGCATTTGGCTCAGGTGAAAATGGAACCTCAGGATAGCGAGGAGGGCCAGGTTTCAGGTCATGGGGTTCTGGGTAGCGACGTCTTTGAAGAGGGCCCAATGTCCACCATGAGTGAAGCTGGCATGCCTCCATCTCCCGGCGGATCAGAAGGAAGCTACATGTCCCATTCCCCGGATTCTCTTATAGGCACATCCCCCTTCGCTCAGCGACCAAAGAAACGAATTCGAAAAGTTTAGTGGTTCTGCCATTTAAAGAGTTAGTTCACCTAAAAAAAAATGAAAATTATGTCATTAGATAATCACTCTCATGTCATTTTAAACCCCTGAACCTAGTCTTTGGAACACAAATTAAGACATTTTAGTTGAAATCGGAGAGCTCCCTCATCCTCCATACACAGCAAGGTTCCCGACTTGTTAAAAAACATCCTCAAAACTAACCATATGGCTTCAGTGGTTCAACGTTAATATTATCAACACATTTGTGTGCACATAAAACAAAAATAGTCAGTTTCTTCTCAGTGTGAATATAGGACATGTCTCGTCTCATATCTCGCATTTAGCTTCAGATGTTTTACCTCAAATGCGCTTGTGCTTGTTTCAACTTGTGGACATGCGCAATATACTGACACTGAGGAATAGAAACCCTTGAGTAAAGTTGTTATTTTTGTTTTATATGTGTACATCAGGGGTGCTCAACCCTGTTCCTGGAGATCTACCTTCCTGCAGATTTCAGTTGCTACCCATATCAAACACACCTGACTGTAATTATCACGTGGTGTTTAGGTCCTAATTAATTGGTTCAGGTGTGTTTTGGATATGGGTAGCAACTGAAATCTGAAGGAAGGTAGATCTCCAGGAACAGGATTGAGCACCCCTGGTGTACATAGTATTCTTATAGCTTGATAAAATTCAGTTTATATTCCAGAGCATGTGTCTGAGGATGTTTCTGAGGATATATTTTGGTATTGTTCCCAAGTATAAGTGAGTCAGGGCCCCTGTTGTCTATGAAGGATGAGGAAGCTCTTTGATTTCACCTAAAATATCTTCATTTGTGTTCTGAAGACAAATAAAGGTTTTAGAGGTTTGGATAAGACATGAGGGTGACTAATTAATAACATAATTGTCATTTTTGAGTGAACTAACCCTTTCATTAAAGAGACTGAAAGCATTTCCACAGTCATTGCAATGCATAGGCTCAACCACTGTTGGGACTAGATAGGTATTCTACCTTTGAATGGACGTTTTAAGTGAAATTAAACGAAACAGACAAATGACAGGCATGGTTGAACGCTCCCTCAGCAAATGCCAGGCGGTCATCGTTTTACCTAATTATGAAATAGGACAATAACTGTACTTGTTTGCCATAGCAAAATTAGCATCTGTTTTTTTGTACCAAAACAATGGAGGGAGCACAACATGGAGAGTAATTATAGCCTGATGTGTGCTTCAAAACACACAGGGACATCAGTCAAGCCAGTAATGGCAAATTAATTACAGCATGCATAAATCTGCATGCTAAATAAGCAGGCCAATTCATTTACCTGCACAGTCCCAGACGTCACAGCGAAGGCATTGTCTCTTAGACACCTGTACCACAACAGTTTTCCAATTAAAAATGTAAGTAAGCAAATAAATACTGGTTGGGTGAAAATTTTGCTACTCATCCATAGCTATGTTTCCAGAGGTGCAATCTAAAGGAGAAAACTAGAAATCTATCTCACAGCATCCTTAAATGAAACCGTGTGGGCCTTCAGTGGCCACTTCAAGGGCATTTTGATGAAAAGCAAAACATAAGCGTTGACTGCAAAAATAATCTTCCATATGTTTTAGTCCTTACTTAGTCTTCGGTGGGTCTTAGAAGCATCTCTAGCAGGTCATATTTCAACAAGATCCTTATTTGTACAGTCAGATTCTTATTTGTACTTGCCTTGCGGCTTTATTTTTAATGACAAATAAATACATTTCTGCCTGTAATATTTTAGTTCCTAAATAAATGATTATAAAATCTTCTATACTTTATTATCCACAGGTGGAAATTTAAATCTAAATTCATCTACATTCAATATCATCACATAAATCACATTAACAATGCAATTCACTTTTTATTTAAATTAACTAAATAATTGATGTTTTAAAACTAGGTAACTATAGCATATTTAAAACATTGTACACTAATAATTTAAAAAAAAAATTACATTATCTCCTTCAGACTCAAATTATGTTACAAGTTTCTGAAAAAAATGTAAAAGTATGTTTTGCCAGTTCTTGAGGCTCCAATAATTAAGATCAAATTATAACAATAACAATTTAACACTCTTTAAGTATATATATATATATATATATATATATATATATATATATATTTTTTTTTTTTTTTTTTGTTAATTTTAATGGACATCATTTCAGAACAGTTGTACTTCCCAAACATTACACCAACACAAAATACCAAAAAAAAGTGTTAAAAAACCCAAAGAATAAGGGCTCTATTTTAACGATCTAAGCGCAAAGTCAATAGCATTAGGGGTGTGTCCGAATCCACTTTTGCTATTTTAAGGACAGAAAAATACACTCTGCGCCACGGTGCATGGTCTAACAGGGTTGTGCTTATTCTCTTAATGAGTTATGAGAGTGCTTTGAGAATAAACCAATCAGAGTTTCATCTCCTATTCCCTTTAAAAGTAAGTTATGTCGCACCATAGCACATTTGCTATTTGCATGGTGAGTGTAAGTGGAAAAAATGAACGCTTCACTAGCGATAAAACGGTTAAACAGACCAACTGCAGCACAAGGATAAAGAATGAGCAACCTCCATTCGGCCTTTACTTTCACTTTCTTTTTCTCTCTTTCGTGGAAAAGGAAATGGTGTTGTACACTCCACTGAAGACATCCATTAGCTTACATATTTAATTTTGTTTGGTAAGCGCAAAGATTTGTTTCAAAACTATTTCTAAAGTCAGTATTTTATTTCAAGCAAATGAATAAATGAACAATAATAACCAAGTGTGGTCAAAAAACACCAAAATACGTTATGTCCAAGTACACATGCTATGCCCCATATGGTCCAAAACCTGACAGGTAGAAAAATCTAAGCTTGTTTTTATTAAAACAAATATAAATATGCATATAATAAATATTACTGCTAATAATAACATCATACAAAAGCAAGTTGTCGAGAATAAACTGAAAAAAGACCCCCGAGAAGAAGGCATAAGGCAGTGGTTTTTATATTTATGTCGAAAATATTAAATTTTGTAATATTTTAATCCTTTAAATTATTTTTCATCTGTAAAGATATTTGCATATTGCTGTACATTCTGTGTGTATTAAGCAATGTGTAAGCGAGGCGCACAACTAACACGCACTTCGCTGGACTTTATACCTGCTTTCATGTCCCTCAAAATTGCAATGCACCAACAATGCGCCTTAGCACACCTCTTTTCTAGACCAGAACAACCATGAGTCCACAAAGTGGTGCAAAGGGCTCCATGCACAGCTAGAGTTTCAAAGCCAACGGTAAACTTCTGGTGAAAGCCTAATGTGACTATTTTCAGTTTCACAAGGTTGTTTTTACAGCATCGATGTTGTAATGTCATTACAATACATTCAGTTAAATAGACTTAATAATAATAATAATGATAATACATTGTATTTATATTGCCCTTGGGCTGCCTGGCTTTAAATTAAATGTCCATGTTCATACAGCTCAACAGATTTGCTTTTTAAAGGGCACATAGTTTACCCCTTTTTGTATGATTTAATATTAGTATTATGGTTCTTCTGAGTGTGCCAGTTTAGGTTCAGTTCAACACACAGTTCAGATGTTTTTATTATAATGTGTTAAAAAGTGTCATGTTGTGGGCGTGTACAAAGCTCGCTGTTTTAGGGGCGTGTTACTTCACATGAAAATTAGTTTCGGCTTCCCGCCCAACGTAACAAGGGGGCGGAGCCAGGAGCTGCCACGCTCTGTGTTTACAACAGACAGGCAGACAGAGAGAAGCTAAGCTAGGATACATGTACGACTTGGACACAGACAATCCAGAGAGTACACAATCATTTGTCTTTGTGTAGTTTTACAGCCAACTGTGTGCTAGTTTCAATTGCCGAGCTTGTACACACTGAGACTAATAACCACGCACACTGAATAAACTTTGACTGAGGCACCGGATGTGTCGCTCGAAGCTGCGACACGGCACACCAGACACTCTCAGTGGCACAGCAGAAACAAGAAGTGTACCGAATTGTTGCGCCACGCAGCGCCATTCATTCTAGAACTCCAAACACAGGCCTCCACCAGGGCAAACACAACGGCGCCCAGCCGCCATACCGAAGCGCCGCCGCGTGCACTCCGACAGAAACCCAAGCCCAGAACTCCGAAACGCACGGCGTTGTGCCATGTAGAGAGGCGCTTCTGGTGTGTGACCTGCAGGCAAGTTAGTTATTTTATTTCCAATGGAGAGACGGGCACACGAGGCAACACACTTGTACTTTTCCAGCTGCACCTAAGATCACAGGGAGCTTCTGTGTTTGCGAGAAATGCAACTGGCTGAGATGGCTTAGAGCGATAATGTGGAGAAAATTGATCTTGTGTTGAGCCCAATGAGCCTTACATCTAAAAATAGAGCAAGGGAGTTCCTTTAGTGATAGCGCTTTAACTCACACACTGAAAATGGCGGATGTGAAACAAGTAATTGAGGATATGATCGTGACGCACCGCTTTGTCACTTCTTTGTCAATTTGCGATCGATCTGAAAACAGCTCCAATTGATCCACCGTTTTTATGTTGTTAAAATGAAAAAAAAAAAGGACTGTGTGTGTGTATATCACCCCATTATGACGGTCTTTACACTATACTTACACACATGTCTGTCCAAATAGCTTAAAATGTAGATTTTTCACCATAGGTGTCCTTTAAACAACATGGTGGTAAACAGAAAATTAAGGTTGCGCTGGTCTGAAAATAGCAACACGTCAGAGCAAACACGTCTGGCACCGGGTGCATGATAGGGCCCTGAAATTGTAACATTATTTAATTTTGATATTTTTGTTGTATAGATTGAATCTTGTTTATAACAAACTTTATCTTCATCTTCCTCATCCCTCCACATAATGTCCATTTCTAAGATATTTCCTACTGCTATATGCTCAAGATCTGTATATTCTGCATATGAAATTGTTTCAACAATGAATAGTACGGGTAACAGTCAATCAACAGCAATGCTGATTAAACATTTAAAAAAGACTATATAGGTGTACCAATTCTATGGTGG